GAGTTACAAACTTAGGGAATTTGTATGCTATGTTATGTACAATGCAACACGTGGCTCGCTGGGGGCACGAGACACGTCTTATCCCTACAACATCCTGTGATTTAAGTCATAAAGGATATTTGTTGATAAATAACTCCTAAAACTGAAGAAAATGTGGATTTGGTCATCTCTGTACTATCGTTTAACTTTGTTATAATCAATGAGTCAATTCTACAATATTTTTTCCTTTCATCAAAATATCACATTTTCACTTCTTACTCTTACTATAATCACCATAATACTGTCATTTCTCTATGATGTCCTCACTAGTCCCATATATATATATAATTTATGTAGCAGAAGGGAAAGAGTTTGCATATTTTTCTTTAATACTGATTTTTGTAACGTAATCTAACGGGCGGTAGGCGAAATTCGTTGGCAGACAAGTAGGGTAAGCCCACAAACTTCAAAGTTACGCAACATCTTGTCTCATTGGTACAAAACGGAAAATAGGTTTTAAATCTGGAAAATACCCTCCAGGTAAATAATGAACATTGGATCAATTTGCTTTTCAAATTATTTCCATGGAAAATGAGTCTTCTCGTTTGCTTATTTGATGTCCGCAGGACTAGGGAATAGCCTTATTTTTATTTGTCGTGTTAATAGGATTGACTGAAGAGTTGACAATGCACCAGATTTTCCTCGAATCTTACGACACAACGCATAAATTAAGTATACTGCAGAGTTGAATGTATAGCAGCACTGAATATGCCAAGAATTTATTTTTTATTTACAGAGAAAGTGGAACGTATGTAAAAACCAGTTTATATCTAAATCATATTAAAATGTCAAGCAACCATCCTTTGCTATACTAAATTTATTGAAGTTCATAAACGATTTATAATAGGAAATATGCGGTTGCTGACTCAATATCACAAACATATTTTTGTTGTTTTCACAATGGATATTTTATAGAACTGAATAACACATAACAGAGAAAAAAAGACTTCTTTGTGCTAACATTTATATCTGAAACTTTCTATGTCAATCTGAAATGATTCCTATTAAACTCAGCAAAATGTTTTTAACAAAGAAAATTGTTATTTTTTATAATGTTCACATCACGTTGAAACACCAATTCCCGTACGATCACTGAAGTTAAGCAACGTTGAGCCTGGTCAGTACCTAGATGGGTGACCGCTTGGGAATACCAGGTGCTGTAAACTTGGATGTGCGGGTGGTGTAATGGAGCTGGAAATTGGAGAGCCGTGAGTTGGTTAGATTTACTTACATGCAAATACCCTTAAGAAAGGTATGAATCCACCTCTTCTCTCCCAGCTATGGGTTAATTAGTAAGACTTATATCACTAAAACCATTATTATCTAAAAAATAAAATAAAATTGTGTACAAAATATTTAGATTTCGGCATTAAACAACCCATAGAGGTTGATATGCTGATAAACAAAAACCAACTAACCAATCACAAGGCCTAAGAGCCACTTGAGGTGGAGAGTTGTAAAGTAAGAGGCACTGTTTATCGGGATATGAGGGGAAGATAACATTTAATCCGAAACTTGAACAGATCAAGTTTAAGATTGTAGTGATTGGGGAATCATCTACTTGGGAGTTGATAACACAAAGCAGTGGGTTCATGAGATGTTGCTCAAATAGAACTTACATTTCACCAATGGAATACAAAGGGAATGAGGCTGGTTTGCTACAATATGCAGGGTGTAGCAAATCTGTAAAGGTTAGAACTGGTAGTACAAAGGAATGTAGTTCGTCTGAGAACTTTCCATGGAAATAACAATAGAGCAGCAAAAGGCTTGTGGCATTTTGTCCATAAGAAAGGGAAACATAGAAGTGAAATTTAATATTTCTATATTATTTAGCATTTATAAAAAGTCTGAATTTAACCATTCCCAAAAGTGAGAGATAAATGAAATTTATTTATTATCTGACATTGTAAAGCAAATCATGTGCCATGTCCCTTCCGGACGTGAGCGATTATGACTATCCACAATTTCCTGTCCTATGTGGCTTTATTAAATTTCGCCTTTCACTATCTCTTTCCTAATCCCTGTTCTGCCAACCAATTAAAAAGACAAGCTCTCATTAGGCATGTTACGCTTTCCTCTGTCCATCTTGCCTTCAATATAATCTGTATCAAAATTTTCAAACCCTCTTTTCTCATTATGTGCCTTACAAATTTCAACTTGTTTCCATTTTCTCTAAAACTTCATCACTAATCACATGTTCAGTCCATTGTATTCTCAGCATCCTTCTGTAGAACTACATTTCTGTTACTTTAAGTCTCTTCATCTGTGTCAAAATCTTTCTAGCTATGACCTGACCTTGAAATTCTTATGCAATGAGAGTCTGTTAACATATGATGCTGATGACTGACTAAGAATACTGAGGGTATGATCCATGGCGACATGCTTAATGAGATCTTTCATCTCTGCCGCTATAAGGCTGCAGTGTTCTGCTTATTCAGGAATTAATCTCTTTGCTATGGCACTAGTTACTAAACGGTTACAATCTGACTCTCACAAAGTTTAATAAAAAGAAAAATCCCCCTTAGTCATTTTCCTTGCTTACTTGTACTGAGAATTGCCCAATCAGATGATATAATAACAAAATCCCTCATAAATTTGTTTGCTCTGAATCTATTATCCTGTCTATTAAAACTATCGATTATGAACCAGTTATTCAAAAACCAGGTGCCCAGTTGTTGACAGCTCAGTTTTGTTTCTAAAATATTCTGGTTAAGTTATTTTTGTTTAGTAAGGAAATGTGACTGAAAAGTATTTTAAATATGCCTTTAGACCCACGGATAACATCCAAGTGACAAAGTTGAAATTACTCAGGCTTACCTGTCCTACCAATCTACTTAGTAAAAAGTAAGATTAAAACGGACAAATTTGGGAATTTCCTTACTTGTGAATGGTTCAATCAATTTTGCTAAGTTATCCACTCACCATAAATTTCCATCTGTTTCTGGCTGAATGCATTAATTAACATTTTTAATTAGATGTGTTCAGCAATTTATGCCATTCCTCATTCAAATCTAGTTCCACATGCCAAAATAATTCTTACATCACTTATTTGGGGGAGGTTACATGCTTCCACAGGTGGAGCATTATCTTCAGCTTGTTATATAAAGTATGCTTCATCACAACCTTATTGGGTGTCCAATAAATAGGACCTTGTGCCAAACTAATTTCTATTTATATATCTCCTCCATATCAGTGAGATAAGGCAAAAATGAGAGATGGAGAGAAAACAAAGTGAGGGATCATAATTAAAAGGAGTGAGTGTTGGGTTACCAGATATATTTGGGGAGACTTGGTAGTGTCTGCTCATTGAAAGCAAATAATTTCCAAACATTTATAATAAAAAAGATGGCTATGGAGAAGTTGAAAGCACATAAATTAAATTTTTATTTTCTAGAAAGAGGACATGTTAAAGTATACAAATATGTTACATGCCCTTTCTCTAATGCTGAAAAGGAAAATTAGTGAATGTTACAAAAACTACCTTTACCTACATGTCTGGTTGTGAAAATTTCTGTCTACTCACTCGTCAGGAATGCATCTTCTCTTAGCAACATCTACTAAAAAGAATATCCTCTCTGTCAAGGGGTCACATGAATGGCCAAATACATTGCACACGAACTGAGGAAGAAGGAAAGTTAACCAAAAGTGTGCAATAGAATTTGAGGGGAAAGATAAAGTGTTTAAAGAGTGGAGAAAAAGGAGATAACTTAGTGATATACCTGAGAAACAAGACATGTTAATAATCAGGGAAAAGAGAGACAAAATTAAAAGAGAGAGTTGTGAAAAAGATACAGAAAGCTAGAAAAAGTGATAAGATATAAGAGTAAACAAGTAAATGATAGTATAGCGGTTGCTGTGTTTTTCACACCCACATACACTCCAAGTCGTTTTATTCGCCTACGATTGACTAATAAATGACTACTACCTTTGTATAGGACAATTTAGCCATCTCAGTTGTTCCTTTGAATCTTTTGGTTCTGAGCATACTTACCTATCCTGTTTAGTATGTGTGTAGTGATTGGTTAATTTTTAACCAATCACATATTTTTAATGTAAGATCAAGTTATCCCGTGGTTCCATGGGAGCCTACGTCTTTTCCTTAAATAGGGCGACTTTTCGCAAGTCGCCAGTAAGATCCCAGCCGTCAACACAAATCCATGATCTTGCTCATCACACTCTAATGCACACACAGACACATAATCTTGTAACTACAAACTTACATTTTCTCTCTGTAATTTTGTTGATTCAAACCAGTTTATTCACAACACATTTCAGGCAATTATATTCTTGGTGTTATTCATTCTTCACATGCAAACTTTGCTCTGACAATTATTTTGGAACATTTATCTCACAAGAGAACTTTCTTCAAATGGTTGATTACAATCAATCTACAGTCAAAGGGAAACAACTTTCTTCTCTTTAATCTACATTGTGAACACAATTTTATTTCATGCTTCTTCTTGCATTTTATTCAATATATATTTGTTGGTCAACAAATTGGAGTTGTTGTTATTATTTCTTGAATCCTGTATGTGGAAGAATCCTTAATATAAATAATAGTTGTACCTATATATTTGGTGTTCCTGCTGCATTTAGTGAATCGATCCGACACTACATATGGTACATACGCTACAATAGTAAAAGCAAATGATACAGCTCAGAAAGTGAGGGTGGGAGGAAGGTTAGGTTTCATTTGTTTGTTCAACTCCTTATGGATCATTTAATGCCAAAATTTAATTTTCTTGGGAGCTTTGGTAATTTTATTTTTTTCTTTTAATATTAAAATCTATTGCTGGAATTTTTTACTATAAAAATGTATTTTTATACTTTCATAGTGATCCCAATTTGGGGGTTCACTATTTGCCCATAGCTGAGACCCTAACAGGTACTACCATCTAAAGTCTGGGCGGATCTGGGAACAGCAATTAGGAGGTGGTTCCATGTTCCTCAAAACTTCCTGATCAGAGGCCTTGCTGCTGGATGTAGAGTGGGAGGAAGGAAGAGTAGGAAAGTGAGACAAAATAGTTAATTGCATGAGAGAAAAAGAAAGAGTGATAGATGAGAAGTGTACATAAAGTAGAAAGAAAGGGGGAGTAGATGAGAAAGAGAAAAAGTGAGGAAGGATAACAAGTATATGGTTGAGAAAGAGAGAGAATTGTGCAGGAGAAAGAAAAGAATAAAAAGAGGAAGTAGAGCATGAGAAAATGGGGAGGGGGGTCCCTTTCTCCTAGCAAAGACTTTAGTATCTCCTGACTGTAAACATATACAAGTGCCAGCATGAAAAACATTAATTGGTCCTAAATGTTTCCTTATACATAAAATGCTAAACCAATTGCAATTATTGCTGTCAGCATATATTCTGAAGTTGTGAAAACTTAAGAAATCACTTTGGCAATTATTTTTTTTCCTATTATCATAATGTATTTCCTCTTCAATGTTTCATATAATAGTCAATTAATTTCTTAGATGTAAAGATATATACTGGGGGTGCAAAAGTAGGTATACAGTAACAATGTATGCAAATGTATTGCATTGATTATACAAATATACCAATAACAATACTGGTTGTATACTTACTTTTGCATCCCCCTGTATAATATATTCAGCCCCAGTTTTTGCATTGCAGCAAAAACAGAATTTAATACTTTTAAAAGTACTGTCTCCAGTCCAGTCCATATATATATATATATATATATATATATATATATAATGGCAAAGGTCAAAGAGCCACTCTAGGTAGAGGGTTACAGAGATAGAGGCACATTTTATGAGGATATGTGTGAACGATAAAAGGTTAACCTTTATGCACAGCTATACACTAAGACTATATGCAACTAATTTCTCCTGATTCATTCAGCCCCATTTATAACAAAGTATGTAGAAATAGGTCTAGATTAAGTAGACATGTAGAAACTTACAGTATCAATGTAGAATCCAATGATCAATCAAAACAGATTTTTGTGTTGTATTTGCAGAAAAACGTGTCAATCACTTGCAGGGCTCAAGAGTTAATGTAGCTCACACAATTTATAAGTCACTTGTACATATTTCAATGATTTTATTCATATTTTTTATTCTTTAACCTAATTCACCCAGCTATAGTTAAATAGCAGGAACTACTAGGTTCTATAGCCTTGGGTGGTAAAAGGTCAAGGAGAAGAACAACTCTGAATTCAAAACCTCCAACTATGGGTTAGTCTTACAAATACACAATTGGCCAAGCATGGTAAGTAGGCTACACTCTTGAAGACAGAGCCAATCAGGGAGGGGCTCCACCAACAGGAGTGAGAAGCTCTTGGATTTAGATCCAGTGCACTTTCGGCAGCCCTGGGAATAACATAATTCATATTTGTTTTTAATTTTGTAGCATAATATTTTTATTTGTACATACTAATTTATGTTGAATAGAATTTTAACCAAATAACATATTTTTGTCGTGCACATGTACAATTTACTATAAAAGCATAACAATAAATTATAAGTACAATATTTGCCTTAATCTATATATGTTAGAATCACGTATACTTTATTAACGAGTTAACAACAAAAAATATATATGTATGTAGGTATGTATGTATGTATTAGTATTGGATCAAATAAGTATCAGTAACATACAAAAATCCTGATTTCATCAAATGTAAATTTATGATGAAATTATTTAACAAATAGCAAAGTTTCTTATCACTATTCTCTTTACAAAAGCCTTAACCTATGGGATTCTCATCATTCAGCAGTCACCTAAATCTTTTTTTATCATTTGTAATGAAATTGTCCAGCTTTCATTGTCATGTCAAAGTACAGACATTACTTAACAGTCCAATACTGTTTTCATGTTCCTGTGTGTTCAGTTCCTTCGTACTTTGTTCAGTTTTTTGAAAACTCTTTCACTATTCCTACGTGCATTCAAATTTCCATATCAACCTTTCCATCATTTCTTATTAAACTGCCCAGATTTTTTGTACTTGTTTAATGTTCATATCGATGATGTATGACTTCTATAACTGGTTCTTTTACTCACTACCATCATGTTGCATTGTCTTCTTACAGTAAATGCTTAGTCCTTTCTTGGTTTTATTGACTTCTTTGTCTAAGAGTTCTTATTCAGTTTTCCTTCTGAATCTGCTGTCATAACAGTGTCATCTCCAATAGTGTATGTGATATGCAAGCAAGTAATTGTAAGATTCAATGTGTTAACTGCTGTCGAGGTTACACATTAGCAGAAAATCTTGGCAGGTTCGTTAATTCTCCTGGAATCATTTTATTGTAGAGGTTAAATAAATTTGGTGAGAAAATGCATCTGTATTACATTTTACTTTCTATTTTGGTGGTAGACTCATTTAATTCATTGTCTACTTGCATACAAGCTGTTCATGACCAATACAAATCGCAGATTAAAACATATAATTAAAAATTTTTCAACATGCCTTATCATCAAAACTGACATTACACCTGAAAATAAATTGTTCTTTAAAAATATGTATTATGCAAATGACAGGAGAGACTGAAGGTTCAATTGAGATTTCACCCTAAAAGTAAGAATAAAAACTGGTTTTCAAATAAATGCAAAGGCTCATTATTAATTCAAGTAAAATCTCTGATACTTTAAATGAATAGTTATTTGTATCACTAGAAAAAGAAATGGATTGTAAGGATTTTTTCGTCAGCAAATTTAGGATCTTCAAATGTTGTGACTTCTCATCTTGTCTATAATTTGTTAGCATAAACACCAAAGACAAGTGTGACATTAAGGAATACTTACTTGTGATACTTAATGGGCCAATAATTAATAATCTTTCAAATTTGATTTTAGACAAACCTTTTATAATAGATACAAATGTTTAACAATTTTTGTTTATGACTTCTCATATTCATGAACACACACACACACACACACAAACTAATATTCATTAATAAACATTCACATAAACTCATATTCATTAATAAACATACACATAAAGTCATATTCATTAATAAATACACAAACTGACATAATTACATATAATTTAAACAGTGTTTTCCTCTGGCTGGGATTTTAAATTATCTTGCCATTCAGGTGGTTCTGCGGTTTCACTTGCATAAAAATAATCACAATTATTTAGACCAGTAACATAATTCTCCCTTTATTGATAAAGATTTTAATAAGTGAAAATGATTACAATTGAAAAAAAAATTATGTTTACTGGACTTTTGTGTCAGTTTTTTATAAATTATTTTATCACAACCAGTTTAATGGACGGGTCACAACTAATTGTTTTGTGCATGAATGTGTATATTTGATATGTGTAATTTAAATGGGTTACAGCACAGCCAGTTTTATTCAATTCATTAACAGTGGCAGACATTAGTTGTGTTTGCAGGCATTTTAGTAGCTTTACATTGGCAACATATCAACCAGATCCTCATCTGCAAAATCATCATCTTCTTTCTTTCGAGCAGCTGTTTTGGGACGCTCAAGCTGAGGTCCTAAGGGATCAGAATAAGAGGCATCTGTTGGGAGAAAAATATCAAGTCAATTAGATGGACCACACTCTGTCTGAAATAGCCAAAAATGCATAAAAATTAAAAAGGAATTTCAATGTATTTAGTGCATGTGATACAGTACATGATTAATAATGGTCTATAAGTAATAATGGTCTATCATAAAAAAAAACTTATTTTTTTGATGGATGAAAAATCTAAAAAATATATTTCAATGTCTACAGATATTTATCAACTTTTAACAAATTATCTTATAAGTGCTGATTGATAAGTAAACTCTCCAATCCTAGAAAACAAGTTTTTGACCAGAGAGAATAATGAAACTGATATCAAAATGAAGTCAATTTATTTCTATTCACAATTATGATTGTTAATTGATAAAGTAAAGTCTCTAATTCATGATGGTTAGCTAATTCATCTCACAGACCAATTGATCAGTATTTTTCAAAGCCAACAATATAATCTTTTATAGCTACTGAGTGCATTTTAGACAGGCAAACACAAAGCCATAATAGTTAGGATCATATTTCACAATGACTGATGATCCTAACTGTTGTGGCTTTGTGTTTGCCTGTCTAAAATGCACTCTATGCTATAAAAGATTACATTGTGGAAATGAAACAAACTGACTATCCATTCTCTTAAAAATAAATACTTTGACTTAATTGTAGTAGCAAAAAGGGTTCAATCCAGGTCCATGCTTTCCAGCTAACTTTACTCTTCAAAAATTGAAATGCAATAGTAGTCACTTTCTACTGTCCTCCTGATTACTCTTCTTTTGTTCTTGATCCTTGGTAATGTTTCTGTTTTCTAATTGTTTCACTCCAAGTAAACCCTTGTGTCTTAGTGGCTTTACTGCCTTGCTTAGGTTGAAACCATTTTAAAAAAAAAAATTGTTAGAGTGTGTGTATGTGTGTGTACACACACATACATACATACACACACACACACGAGATGATGAAACAAAATTTTTCACTTCCATCATCTTCACTTTTCTTTCAGATACTATTACATATCTTAAAAATGCACACACACACACGGGTTGCTGAAGAGTCTTCAAATCTACCAAAAATGTCATTAAAAAAATGTTCATGTTTGATCAGATCTTTTGGAAATGGGTCATTTTCAGAAAAAGTGTATGTGAGTTTATATTTGCCAATGTCTGATTATTGCTTATTCAAATATTGCCATAAATTTTTTTTTTTATGTTTTTTTTTTTTAAACAAAGAGAGGATGAGGAGTAAGTATTTTAAATGCTGTCACCATGACCTAAATCTGGCTGCCTCTAACCATGGGCAATAATAATGTCTCAAAGTGAATGATAACTACACCCAATCCCCTATTTAACTGATATGAATGGCGTTAGTGATAATCTGCATCTAGTTTTCTTAGCCACATGCTCTTCCTTCTCACTTTTTTGATGAGAGTAACAAGGATAGTAGAATGAGCCTCAAGATACACGGGTTCTTTAGAGAGAAAAAGAGATAAAAAGTTGACAAGGGAACAAGTATCCTATTACACAATATTGAACAAAAAAATAAAAAAGTTAAGAAATGAATGTATCTCCATTCATTGGTGTTATTAAATAAATGAACTAGTATGAATCTGTGCATTCAAATGGATGCATATGTAATGGCATTTTAACCAAAATATCCTATATATATATATATATATATATATATATATATATATATATATATATATTTATATGTGTGTGTGATGTTAGTAGTAAGTACTGTGGTCCTTTCAGTAACTATTTTGATGGAGATGAAAAGAAACTAAATAATTTGTCAACCAGAAATAAAAATGCCATATTTTAAAATGATGTGTGAGGACAGATTTTAAATGCTTATCTTGCACAGAAAGCTTACAAATATCAACAAATCAAACTGGAGTGAAACTGTTTTTTTGACTAATCAACAGTAAGTGGGTACAAATTACAATTACTTAAAAGGACTTGAATAATCAAATTAACTTTGGTGGTTTTGGCTATCAATCATATGGAAGCTCTGTTAATACAAACTATTGGACTGAAAACCATAATCAATTATTTAAAAAATTACAAATGTCAAAATATACATGATTTAGCCATATATTTGTCATTTTTGATATGATGATCAAATCCTGTAGTAATATCTATATACAATAGACTAAATGTTTTTTGTCTGTAACTTTTTGTTGTACTATAATTATCTCCCTTGTATGAACAAAACTATATAGCAGGGTCTTTGCTATGATACTGGCAGGCTGTACTAATGTGAAAGGAGGTGACTCAATGAAAAAGCAGAGTACAATAATACTATGTGGAAAAATATATTTGAAGATTCACAGGTGAAAAACCTTTCATGATAGTAAAGATTTAAACAAAATATATTGTCAGTTTTTACAGCATGGGTAAACTAGTATATTTATACATTTAAAGATTCCTATGTGAAAGCCTAATTCTACTAGTAAGAATAAAATATCAATTTCATATATGTAGACACATTTTCAACAGCATGAATAAACATTTTTTATATAAGTGCTGAAACTGACACAAGTTTGTTTGAATAGAAAGAGAACATTAACAGTTAAAAAATAATAAAAATAGAAATATAATAAAATGCATTGGATCTGAAAGTTAGTATGGCTGAAATGATAAAAAATAGAGAACAACCAGCTTAAGAACAAGTGGAGGTGTGATGACCAATATTTTGTATTTGTATTTATTTCTATACTGTATATGTAGGCATATATATTATTCAAATTGTAGCAACTATGACTATTTTAAGATAAAAAACCAAAAAAAGTTGAGTTTGATTTCAATGACACTATAAACAAATAAACAGTCTCTTATTCACACACAATGTGTGTGTGCATGTATGTAAACATTCTGTCAGTAAAAAGCACAACTAAATTTTTTCTGTCTTAATTACTGGGATGAGGTGTTATCATTTATACTATTTACATTTGGACTAGTGTCCTTATCTTTGTTGTTGTTATCACAATGTTTCAACAGTTGTACCCTCCAGCCTTAAGTAGTTTTCAATACCTGGTCCAGGTAATGTGTACTTGGACTCAATGGCAACAGTACAAGCAATAACTGAGCATACTAAAATAAGAACTAGACGAGATATTCCGAGACATGGGCAGTGGAACAAGAACAGTCTATCTCTATAGATTAAATAAAGGGTTCAGTTTTGAATACCCTGTAGGTCACCTGCATCAATATACACTTGATGAAGGCTTGAGGACACAATAACAAAGATGAAGATAATAGTCCAAATGTAAATAGTGCAAATAACTAAATCTTTCTCCTCAAAATTTTTAGTATCAATTAAGGGCTTTAATTTATCTGAATTCTTTTTATTAAAAATGACTAAAGATATTAATTCTACTTCAGGGAATGATCAGTGTTGATCTCTTTATGCTTATGCAAGAGATCAAAGCATATCATCTGACTCACAAAATAAATTAGGACATGATCATTTTGAACCTTTTACAATGAATCAACTCTGATTCAGGAATATAACAAAATGATCTGAAAAATTAGTTTAAATATTATTATAACTTTTTATTAAAAAGCCATTTTCTATTTACAGCCTTTATATTGAAAACCTTTGTTTATTCTTCTTTTAAAAATAGCTTGACACTCATCTTTGAGTTTTATATATCATAGCAGAGAATAGATAAATATTAATGAGAAAATAAAGTTATGTTCTAAAGGATAGGATAAGAACATTTCTAAGCCAATGCACAAATATATGCCATATTGTTTATCTTTCATAGAAAAGACAATGTAAGTGAGGAAGCCTGAAGCAATCTGTCATTGAGTACAAGCAAAGCAAAATTTTGCCCAAGCATTGCTGCAGAAAAATGCAAAGGCCCTGCTTGTCACATGTTGGACACAATCATCTAACCAAATAATGTCAGGATTAGACTGAAGCATTCACCATAAGATAAGGTGAGGAAAACACAGCCTCACCCCAGGCAAATCTCTATCAATAGCAAAGGATTTGGGGAGGTTCTGACAAGATAGCTGAAAACAATGATGAGCTATTTTGTAAAAAAACATATCACATTTAACCCTCATCATTAAACCAAACCCAATGTATTTCTTTCTCAGTTTCATCTAAAATATTATCAACTAATACCAATAATTAGAGCCTGAACAATTATTTCATCACTATATTTACTCAATGTTTGTGTACTTGGTTCAAATGGTAAATATGACAGAATGTGCTCGGCTTTAGCTTGTTGCCTCAAATTTGTGAAGAAAAGGAAAACTAAAATTAAACCAAGGCAAAGTGGCTTTCAACAGAAATAGCCACTTTAACATCACCAGAAAGAATAAATCCTTATATAAAAGTATGAAATGAAACAATATCACATTTAGAAAAGCTTTATTCAATGCCAGAAGTCAACAACTTTGTACTATTTATAAGAACTAAATGTAACTATATGGTAAGAAGGGGGGGTACAAAAAACAAAACATTTTTATGGACTATTCCATTATAAATCCCCTTTCTGAAAAGAAATATTGAGTACAAAGCAAACACAGCAATTAGTTAAGTTATAAACATAAATAAATACTCAAACTTAGCTATTTTTTACATATTTTAAAGGTACAAAATCCTTGAGCAAATCTCTTGCAAATTTTATCGGAGCACGGAGGCAACACTGGATTTGATAACCATTTTTGGAGGGGAGGCGCACTCTCAGATTTAGATTTTGAACAACGGGGTGTGAAACATCTTCAAGTACTGGAGTACATTCCAGTAAGCCTTTAGAAGGACATAGGGTTGTTTTACTTCAGGAAATAGAGTATATCCCTGTAGGCACACATCAGGTGTCACATCCCTGAAAGAGATGGTAGATTGTCACCCATCCAGATAGCAGATGTGAGCATACTGAGGATTTGCCTCAGTGAGTTCCATTTCATTATCCAAAGGATTAATGATTAATAGCACGGAGAATGGAATTGGGAAACTAAAGTTCAAACTCCAACAGTCTGCGTGCACTTTGCACTCATGCTCTTGTATAAGGCATGAATCCATTTCTCACCTCTCAGGTATGAGCAAACAGCATGGCAGCTGAAGTCTTTTATCCCAGTAATATAGTTCATTTTGTGTATTGGACTAGCTCTATAAGAAGTCACTTAAAACTAAAACAACAGCAGCATCAATTGATGTGATTGAAACTTTCATAAAGAGTACAGCAATAAAAAATAATAATGCTAATGTAACAATGTGATGATTATAGATATGGGAAGATTCACCCAGGATTTCTTTGATTACAAATATGTCTTTTATTAAATACTAGCTTAAAAACTGCACTCCATGCAGACTTTTAAGCTAGCTCCTGTGGAGGGCTAATTGAGCCTCCAGCCAAAACTAAACAGACCTCTGGTCCAGCTTAGAAAACGGCAATGATAATTTTGAAGAAATAACTTTGAATTCCTCAATTCACTCCATGGAACTTCAAAACTTCACTTTAACTCTGATTTGAGCTATAAGTCCAATTCTAGCCAAAAGACTGATTTAGGCTGAAATCCCAATTCAGGCTGAAAATTGAGTTCTTTAAATCACAAACTCTGTGGAACTTCAAAACCTCATGCCAGGAAACTTCTCATTTTAACTCTAATTATTTGGCATTTTGAATAAATAAAATTGATTTTCTCAATTTACAAAGTTTTAGAGATATTTTAAACTGAATTTAAAAACAAAAACACTTAAATTCAAACTTTTTGTGCTACTTTAAACTCAATATAAATTTAAAACTTTTAAAATCACTAATTTTTTTCAGTATTTTAAAATTTGAATTTTTAACTGTTCCTTCTACATCCAGACACAAATCCCTATGCTGGATGTTCAAACAACAGATGAACTGCAGATTTTTAATCCTGGGATCATCCTGATTCCAAAAAGGTATAATATGTCTATGTAAAGCAAGTATGGCCCGAGTCAAAGGGGTTTCAGACACACAGATGGACAGACAGAATTTGCTAGTTATTTAGATTCAAATGAAAAACTTTTTCCTAGAATGTTTGCAGCTTAAATTAAGGGATGGAAGGAAAATTCATGAATAAAAATAAAAGAGTGGTTGGAATCCCAAAAAGAATAATCAAACCCAGCCTATCTATTTGAAACTCAAAAATATATATATCTCTCTTTCACGGTGAATTCATAGAATAGAAAACATATATTACTAATGACAAAATAAATTAGTAATCAAATAAAATTAAGGTAAAATAATTAAAAGGCACAAAGAGTAACAATTCATAAAAGATTATAAAATTGGAAACAACTTTAAAATATCAAAACCAAACACATTACTTGAAGTATTTAAATAAAACTGATAAGTATTTAACAGGCATTACCAATTTCTTTTGTTTTAAGTGCATTTTCTTCTTCTTGCAGATCATAACCTGACCGATGACCACTTCCCATTCTTTCAGACATTCTCTGGCCTGCTCTCCCACTTGACTTCCGGCTACTGTTACCACTGCTGGCTCGATCTGCAATTTTTGTCAAATGAGAAAACAATTTGTGGTTAAAAATTTTAACAAGAATTGGATTAAAATGTGTGAAAGTCAAGAATGAATTAAAAATTAATCTTAATGCCGTGTTCCTGGGATTACACATGCAGAGCTAAAAGAGTACATTTTATAGAAACTATTTAAAACAAAATTCTTGCCAAGTAATAATTTATCTTAGTCTTTACATTAAACTTTTCACAATAAATTATTAAAATTTTTTTGTCAATTGTATAAAATTTTTCACAATTGACGTAACTTTTGTTAAAATGATTTCATTCTTATTAATGTAAATAATATTTTAAATTGATATTCATTCTGTTCTTGGTCTGAATAAAATTAAATTAATTCTAAATCTATATTATTATGTCTTTGATTAAACCGGGTTTTCAAGTGAAGCTACTTAATTCTGTGACTATCAAGAATGTTAATATAAAACCTTGCCACCAAATAAAAGCTTTTGCTATTCAAAACTAAGAAATTTCTTTGATTAAATCTACCCCCTCCAAAAAGCAAAAACAAAAAAACAAAAACCACTCTAAATTGGTTTAGTATCACAAACAATAATGTTGTTAACAGTTTATTCAATAGGAAATTCTTCTAATATTTTTATTTCAACCATGACTTCTATGATTTCTCTGAAGGTCAATTATTTTCGCTATAGAATGTGTAAGTTTTTCAATAATTCTTTCCCAGAGTCAATGTTTTTCTATCCCGATGCCTTCCACTTTCCCTTTTAATTCTCTCTGAGCCAGTTATCCATATTTTAACTCTTATAATAACCAGTAAAAATGGGAATTGACTTCCATACTTTGTTCCCAAAGAGAGGTATCAAGAGTATTGCCTAGTTCTTGAAATCATTTTTCAAGGACATGTTCTATTCTTAAGCATAGTATAACATTTATTACAGAGCAATTAGAGAAGGAAATGAAACAACCAAGATGATATTTAATGGCAATGATGAGATTAGCTGTTTCCTTATGAGAAAACATTTGAAATTCACTGGCGGAACAATTAGTATTACTTTTGGTTGAAATTTATAAAATCTTTCTCTTTAAACAGTTTTTGAGGAAAATTGGTTTCTCAAGTCCATTAGCAGTTAATTACTCTTTTTTGCTATTGACGGGCATTTTTTCCTTTTCTTTGGGGTTGTATGGAAAGTCAACATTTTGATTATGTCATTATTTTCTTTGACTTACATTTTAGTTGTTGCTACTGTTAAAAGTTTTCAAGTAATATGAATTCTGTTATCTGGTACAGTTCTTCGTAATTCTGTAGTGCCAGTCCACAAGATTCAATGAAGGATGGTCCTCTCTAAGACCTACAGGGTTCATTTGCTTAAAGCCATTTTTAATCATTGATCTGTAAAGCAGTTGTATACAGCTAACAAGTTTAGATATTTCTGAACAAGTTGAACACTGTGCATTACATCAATATGAAAATCTAGATCTGACAAAGCTATTTAAGAATATGACTTGAGGATTTCAGTTTCAGTTTGTAGCATCTTATGGTGTTGGACAAAAGTATCCTAAGAACAAGTTATTCTATGTTTCTTTCTATTCTAAATTTATTATAAGGGATCCACACACTGATATTTTTTTTTATAATTCTCTTAATTGTATTCATCATGTGGGACAATCATAGTGATAAGTTCTTGTATGAACTGTTGAAGAAGAGACTGAACAAAATATTTGTAAATCTAAATAAATAATATTGAGTTACTGTTATATTTATCTAGCTATCTGTCAACTTGAGTATGGCTTGGGTTATTTTTGGAAAATAATAATACTAGCTGTTTTAGTATCTGAAATTGGACATTATTGGCAATTTCTATTTTTACATTTTCTGACGGTTTCAAAAGTGATCTATTTCATTTCTTTAATCTTATTAAATATTTACTGAATTAGAGCTAACTATACAGTATTTGGCTGTACATGGTATTATACAATTTTGATGGAATGAATTATAATGGGTAAATTTATGTATTAAGTTGCTCTCTTTGTCTAAAACCAAAACTTGAAGTGTGAACTCCAAATAAGGTTAAACAACTCTGATAAGAAAACCATGACAAAATATCTGCAATGTAATTTTATATATGTCACAGAATGTCATTGAAATCTTTTCTTGCACTCTTCTAGCAAATCAGGTGAGTGAGCATGAAGACTGTAATCAAGTCATCTAAACTAAACATTTGTGGATGTGAAATGTCATAATTAACATAGGTTGGAAGACAAGGACCTTAAGAAAAAACAAAGTTTGATGCAAGAAAATTATTATCAACCAACACTCGAAAATAAGCAAATGATGAATGCATGTCACAGTGCTTTCTAAAATAATATTTCTTAAAACATTTTAGGTGGAAATAGAGGAAACCTAACGCAATAATTATTCAACTGAATTGAAAGATACAAATTTATGGCAAATAAAAGCTTCCAGATATCATGAAAGTTTGAATTTAAGTTATTGACTTGTATATTTCAGAGGATAAAACCCTCATATCAGACATTATATGCTCTGATATTACTTTCAGTATAAACATAAACAAATATCTGTATATTTAATGTCATTTATATTTACAAGCTATTTTTTGTGATGCCTGCAACATTTTCCTGTACTAGAGTTGGTTCCATTATTCTGGTGTGATACCAGGTTGTGCTATCTTTTCAAGGACAATGGTGAACTGTTACAAGATGAGGAGGTAAAAAAAAAAAAAAAAAAAAACAATAGAGTACAACAATAACTGAAAAAATAAAAACTCACCTGTAAAAAATCTTTAAAATAATAAGAACTTAAAAATGTGCTGTCATTTTTGAGAGAATGAGTAAACTATGAACTTGTGCTGAATCAGACCTGATCCATTTCTTAAAATGTGATCAAATGAACAAGCATCAAAACATTTTTGGGGAAGAACTTTTAATACGAAGCTCATATGTGCACTTTTGTGGTGTATGTGTGCGTGAGTGCATGTTATTTTAGAAATAAACCTTAACAAAGCTAAATATGATTTATAAATTAATTAAACAATTCCAAAAGAATTGAATAATTTCAAAAGATAGCAACATAGATAAAAGCTGTACAAATCAAATTCTATAAAGTAAATGTCAAATAAGTTTATACATCAAAATCTTATTCAAATGATATTCCTCAAATTCTTCAAACTCAATCAAAACACTGGATGGAAAGCAACAATATTGAACTTTCATTTTTTTCAACTTTCAAGAGCAGCTATGGGTAACAAGGTCAATTTTCACCTCAACTTGTTTCCCACTGTAAGTGTACTAAGCCTAGAGACGTATCTCTCTATATTCAATGTACCTTCAGGACACATGTGATTATGGTTCTCAGTAATATTTTCTCCTTTCAAACCCTTCTTTGTCTTAGTGGTATTTGTATCTCCATTCATTTACTCAAACTTACTAGTTAAATTACATGCTACTTTCTCCAACTGGACATAGTATCTGTATTCACATTTGATGTTTTGATTTATTTGCTTATTGTCCTGTTAGTGTCAGGCCACCTAATTATTCTAATACACTCAGATCCTCAACAAGACAATTGTCTGTTAACTCCTCATTGTTCTATGTGCTTATCTTCACGACTGAGCTAGTGAACATTAGGAATTGTCCAAATTATTTTAATCTATAAACAATTTTAGCTTTCAATCAAGAGTGAAAGTCCTGTTAAACATCCTGTTTCTACCTAAGTTTGAAATTAGTTCTTTATCAGTTGAAAAATATACAAAATTTAATCTGCTTCAAATTGACACAAACATGAAAAACTATCACAGAAGCACACCATTAAATGGAACTTTGTTTTCCTATTTTTCATAAAATTCATGAACAAAAATCCTAAATAACTTCAACTAGAAATTTTGTTTGCCTACATTAAAATGTTATACTTAGAGAATTTATGTAAATCTCAAAACATGAGAAGCATCTAGATATGTATATATAAGGACATCATTTTATTTATTGTTTATAAACAATAATATTGATCTTTGTGCTTGAGTAACACTAAGTCAGATCATCATTCATAATATGACAATGTTTATCTTTTTGTTTTTATTTAATCACTTCACCCCAAGCAAGGAGATAATGCCACTAACAGACAGGGGGTTAATGAGAGCAAAAGGAAATAAGATGTTAGTGAGAAGTACAATAAAAGAACAGAATTCAGAAAGACAGATGGTAATTGATGTAGCATTTCAATTTTTATTTTTAAATACAACTTATAGTTACATCTAGCTTGTTCAACAGTAACATGATGAGACTTAGTTGCAAATCTTTAATTCATGTGGCCAAGGTACCAAGAGGAAAGCTTGTTAGAACAATTGCCATAAATATATTTATAGATGGAAGGAAGCCAAGCCATAGAGGTGGGAAAGTGACTGAAGTCAAGATGTCAGGCCAGGACCAATAACATTACAGACCTTTCTTTGGATATTGTCAAGAATCTTGAGATATATAATAGGAGCACCAGACCAGATAAGGCAGCAGTATTTAATGCACGAATGATGGAATATTTATAAATGTGTTTGATGAATTCTGGCAAGGAAAATAGTCTTGTACAAATTAGCTACCAGTTTTTCCAGCAATGTGCAAATTTTCAAAGCATAAGAAAAATCATGACTCACCACTGCCTGCACTTCCATCTCGACTTTCATGATGACGTCCACTGCCCCTGCGGGAGCCACTGTTAACTCTCTACAACAAAATATTTAAAAATTAGTCTTGTAGATTAAACAATAGCAGAAATTGTTACATATTTCCTTAATTTTAGTCGAAATTATGTGTTCAAAATGAACATGAGATTTATAGGTATTAATTGATACTATCAAGTAAAAAGCTGAGATATGTATATCAAATACAATCATGAAAAGACATTTTCTTTAATTAAAGTTAATAGACTATATACAGAGTGCAATGGGTATTTGAGGACACAAGTATTTTATTTCTCTTAGATCTGCCCAGACACTCCTGCCCACAAGATAAAAAGTTAATGCTAGAAATGAAAAGACATTCAGTCATTGTTGCACTATGTGCAGAACTTAGTGATTTTGAAATTGCTAACTTTTTAAATTTTTTTGTACACAATGTTCAAATGAAATTGAAAGCCTCTGGCAGGAAAGTTTTAAGTGCATCAAATTGAAAACCTAAATGTTTGGGAATTATAAGGACACCACAAACCATTCAACAAGTTCAAAACATTATCTATGATGATCCCAGAAAAAAAAAAAAAAGCATCATCACCAAAGAACTTCAGGTGTCAGAGTGGACTGTCAGAACTGTAATGCATGAGGATATTTAATACAAGTTTTATGTACTGAAAGAGGCAAGTTCATGCCTGCAAAAACACAAGAAAATCATTTGATCTGTGGAAAGTGGTTACTTAAGAAACATGGCATATGCTTTAGTTTTTATTTCTGATGTGAAAAACTTCTTCCAAAACCAAAACTTTGGCATCTGAAAGGATGGGTGGTTAAGTGCAGATCCTTCTGATGAATCCAGAATGATGCACATAAAGTTTCCATCAACTGTGATGGTTTTAAGAGTGGTTATTAATGAAGAACATGTCATGTCACCTCACATGTTTTCCCAGGATCTGAAAATTAATGCTGCTGGATATGTTAGGGTTCTGGAGACAATTGGTAAGCTCTGGAAGTCTATACTTGTTACTACAAGACCTAGCACCTTTTTACAAAGCTCACATAAGCCAAGAACAGATGTCAGACAACCTTTATGATCATGTCACATCAAATTTGTGGCCTCTAAACATGCAAGGTTAAAAATTCCATGGACTATTACTACATTTGTAGCATTGTTGAAAGGGAGTCTAATCAACGTCCTGACCATATCTTCACTGAAGACCGCCATTGTCCAGGTGATGTCCAAAATTAATAAAGATTACTTAATATAGGCATGTCAACAATTCCAGTCCCATATTGAGGCATTGAAACGGAAGGTGGATTCATAGAATAATCTTTTAAGGAATCTTAGTGAAAACATGTGCACAAGTTTTTATTAAAATACATTTGGTTTTAGCTAGTTTAGAGTTGTTTATTAAATTATGTTGTCAAATAGCCCTTTAACCTTGTAGGTAATGTTCATTTATTATTTCAGAGATTTTCATTATTTCTGTGAAAAAAATCTTAATATTGGGCTGATGCAAAATTTTCCAGCTTTTTTCATAAAATCTTGTATTCATATAAATTCAAAGCATCCTTATCCAGTGATAAAAATACGTTTCCTGGATTCCTCTGACCTAGCATCACCTGTCAGCTTAATTGTGTATTCTAGATTCAAATAATGATTCCACATTTGAATTGATCAATTCCTTGAGGAATTTCTCAATATCTTGTTAGAATTGTTGATCAGACAAGGAATGTTGCATGGCACACAACAAGTGACAGTCTGAAAGAGAAAGATATTAGAGAATAAATTGAGAATAATTTTCTGCATATTTGCAATATGACTACAGGCAATGTCATGAAGCAAAATTAAGAGGTAACTAAAAAATGGTCTTTTCCAATGCATCATTCAACTGAGATGCTTGCTTATTGTAAAGTTCCAGCAATGCATAATAAAGAATTCTCTTTGATTCCTATCAAACACACAAAAAGAATTTGTTTCCTTTAATAGATTCCATTATGTTGGGATGATGACAACTGTTGTGAATCTAGCCACAATTTTCTTAATTTTCTAATAAATCCATTTTCACTGCCACTTGTCCAAAAAATTAAAGTTTTTCTGTGTTGAACCAAAAAAGAGAGAGAAACAAACATTTAAATGCTGAATAACATTACTTTCTCTAAGTCCATGTGGAACCCATTTCTCTAATATCTGTATTATTTTTCTAAGGCTTAAGGAGGGGTGCTGAAAAGCTAATGGCTTCACCTACTTTCCAAAATTTGACAAAATCAGCAAAAATCATTAGATTTCAAGTTCCGATATTTTACAATGCATTTTCTATAAAGGAGTCGAAATTTTAATTTTTTTTTAAATTTTGTGCACCCCTTGTACATGCTTGCACCTACTGCCTTATTACCTTAATCTTCACTCATCTATTGCCTAGATTCTGCTACTGTCTGTTCACATTAAACCATGTGGAATATGCATCTTATATTCACTTGTGGTTTTCATTGAGATAAAGTAAAATTATCACTTTTTATAAACAATTCTTAAGTAGTAAACAATATGTACAAACAGTAAATAACTGAATAAACTGTAAAGATACTTCTGAGATTTCTATAATATTATAGTAAATACAGAGCTAAGGAAGTTTTACATTAATTTAACATTTCAAATTTTACCCTAATTTTATTTAAACTCTAATGAGAAAACACTTGTAATCACTGACAGGAAAAGATTCAATAATATTTGATTAATCAGTGTTGTCTGCATTTTAAATGCATTAAAAAAGTTTGAACTGAAAATGGTATGAAATCTTTAAAAGCAGGTGGCTAGAGAAATATTTCTACCTGAATTTCTTCTCTTGGATGGAAAATATTCTTGGGGAAAAACAAATATGCAGGACCATTATTGTTACAATATGAAATATGAAGCTAATCTGGGATTAGATTAAGACAAATAGTATCAACTGATAAAAATTTGAAATTCAGGGGTCAAAGGTGAAGTATTTTTACAAAGGAAATTCAATTTAACAATAATGAGAAACAGGATGGATGCATTTTAAGGCCTTCTGTCATAGTTTATAGTTCATCCTTTCAGTCTAATAAATGCCTGTACTTACCTGTTCTCTGAGTTCTTTGGCTTTCTCAGCTTTCTTTAATTTTGTGGCATATTCTTGTGCTTCTTTCAAACCTAAATCTGCACAGATCTTGGCCAAGAACTTGAGACCTGACAGGAATGTAAAATCGCTAATCAACAGATGACAAAACTTTTACTTAATTTGCTGCATGTAAACATGTGTAGATAGAAAAGCCAATGAAATTACATAACATTTAAAGTCACTTCAAGTTGAAATCTTTTACATTTAGTGCTTTGCAGTAGTAAAATTTTTTTTGATATTTTTCATCACTTTTAGTAAAAGCAGTTTGGATATTTCACATTATTTATTCAAGGGTAAATTGATAAGCAAAATCTCTAATCTAATAAAACAAGTTCTAGACTTGATAGAATAATGAAATAGGGATTAAAATAAAGTCAGTTTATTTCTTTTCAAAATTACAAAAGTGGATAAAGAAGGTCTCCAATCCTATAAAAACACGTTTTAGACCAGACAGAATAATGAAACTGGTATCAAAATGAAGTCAATTTATTTGTATTCAAAACTATGAGGGTAAGTAAGTAAGGTCTCCAATCCTATAAAACAAGTTTCAAATCAGATTGAATAATAAAACTGGTATTAAAATGAAGTTAATTTATTTCTATTCAAAACTTCCTGTTTATTTTTCAATATAATTTTCCATTCATGGGTATGACAATAAACTACATCTGGCAGTTAGGCCTATAATAAGGAGATTGGAGATTTTGAGGATTGTGGAGCCACCTCTTAATTGCTGTTGTTTCCAGGTCTATCCTGATCCAGCTTGGTAGCACCTGTTAGGGTCCCAGCTATGGGCAAATAGTGAATACCCCAAACAAAAACAAAACACCATGAAAGTATAAAATACATTTTTATAGTAAAAATACCAACAATACATTTTTATATAAAAAATAGATATTTATAGTAAAATGACCAACAGTATATATATATATATATATATATATATATATATATATATATATATATATATATAAAATGGACTCTGCCGTCGTTTTTGACATATGAGGATCTGACAACTTAAACGATTCAGTTATGAAATTTTGTACAATAATCTTAAGTGACACTTAAGACCTGCTAGTGATTTACAAAGGAGGCCGCATATAGATCAAGAGTAAGGATTGTGGGATGAGATCACTGTTAGATTGGCTGAACTTTTAGATCTTGCTCTTGCTTCTTGAAGAGGATTCAAACAAGCTGATTGAAAACTGCTGAGTCCACTAAAACACGTTAATCTCCATTCTATCCGCTCCAAGCGCTTGAGGGTGTGATGAGGTATATTGACAGCTGACAAGTTGCTTTTCAGCTTGTTTTTGTATCTTAGCCATGGGCATCCTACATTTCTGTAGCCTTGATCTAACTGGCTGTACATAAGATCTTGGGTATCCTGTCGTCAGATTTTGAAGACATGACCAGTCCACCGTAATTGAGACTGTATGAGAAAAGTCTTGATTCCTCCAATATTACATTTTATAGCAGAATTACCAACAATACATTTTATCTGTAGTTGAAGTCATAAAATTGTGTTCAAAATATTTAAATTTCACCATTAAATAACCTATAGAGGTGTTGATATGCTGCTAAACATAATCAACCAAAATATAACTTTCAACATATAGTGCTAAGCATTTCCACAATTGTCCACTTTTTTTATTCAATCCATGAAGAAAGTTTCTGGTTTATTTTTGATCCAATTACACATTAAAGCAACTTCACGACACCATACAACAGCAACTTTATAACACACAACACTACGCAAGAGAAACTTCAGCCTTCATACATAAAGTGCAACAATCTAAATAAATTATCAAAAACAGATTATATTCTCCAAATTCTCAAAGAATAAAAAAAAAACAACTTACATTCAATATTTTCTGGAAATCTTTGCTGGACTTTCTTGTATGTTTCCAAAGCTTGCTGATAATTGCCACTGCGTCGATAACAACTTGCTACCATCAGCTGCCATTTACTCACATTAGGTCTGCATAGAAATGCAAATTTTACAATTCTCTCTTACTCAATTTCTGCAAGCTTATGTATTAGCTCTAAAAAAGTTATACTAATTCATAAGATTAATCTCATAAACTATTGATAGTAGGTGATAGAGAAAATATGTATGGAAAAATGATATGCGACAAAAACTCACTGAAGAGAGTAATGGATTGATATGAACATTTTTTTACTCATTGATATGTCATTTTATTCCTTTGATTTTACATATTTTTTTTTAAACAAATATCCTTTTTTTTCTTAATAAACTATCTTTTCCTGTAGTAAATATTCTTAGATTTTCTGAATACTGCTACAATTGTCCTAATTTGCATTCATGGAAATAAATAACACTATTCAGGCCATGTTTAAGCCTAGAATAAAAAGAAATTATTTTCAAATCATTTTTTGGATTTAACCAAAGAATATTTTAATGTTGGAGTTTTGAATAGTCAAAAGATTCCCTTCTCAAAAACTAACAAAATGACCAACATCAGAATTTTTTTTGAAAGATTTTTCAGCATTATTATATAATTTTTATTTGACACCAATGTTTTCTCTTTACATTCTTCATTGATTCAGAATTAAGTAGCTTCACAAGAAAATCAGTTTAATTAAATCATAGTAATATAATTGTTAACTTCATGAACAATGAAACAAATACATTTTGATACAACTGATGCAAAAGAACTTTATATCTGTAAATGTAAATATCATCATTTCAGAACAAAAGAAAAAGTCTTCAGTTATATTTTGTGATTCTAACATCATTATACAGATTTTTTTTTTTTTTTTTTTACTTCATTTGGATTAAGTTTTTTATCATTTTTTTATATTATAGAAAAGTGTTCTAATAAAGCCAGTTTGATGAAGAAAAGAAAGAAAAAGAAAATTCAATTTATTTTTTTGAAAACCAGAGCAAACACCTGATTCAAGAACTGATATGATTGGGCAATAATATTTAAACAATGAGGTTTCAATATTTTATAAGGACATGGCAAATTTTTCTTATATTGATCAGATCTTGGGAAGTTGGTTAGGCTGAGAACTTATCAGTATCCACTTCATACTGGCATAAAAATATCATTCAAACTTTGAATAATTCAGAATAAGCCTTCAAAACAATAATAAGAAAAGTTATTGTCTTTGTTTGGCAATAAATGCTGGACAGTTTTATGACAAATGAAAAAAAGATTTGCAACAATTGAGATATGCTTCTTGTAACAAACATTGAGAACACTATGGATTATATGACAAATAAGGAAATATTAAGGGAAATAGATACTACAAAGAAATTGTTGTCAATATTCAGAAAGAGTTGACATTTTTGGGACACATAATGAGGAAAGGAGGCTTGGAGAACTTAACATTCACAGGGCACATTGAAGACAACAGAAGTAGAGGAAAGCAGATGAAAAACTTGACAAGTTTGAGAAACAAATGAAAAGGAAACAAATCCCAGATAGAGAAATATGGAGATAAAAGGGACAGGAAACTGTGGAGAGCCATAACTGCCAATATCCTGAAGGGATATAGCAGACAGAAAGAGAAAGACATTTTTGACAAGTTTTAGTAAATGGATGGAGGAACAAGTGCTACAGATACAAAGACGGGCTATGAAAGTATTGCTGAGAAGAACAAAAAACAGAAAGCTGTGGAGAATCATGATCACTAACATCCTGAAGGGATATAGCAGACAGAGAGAGAGAGAGAGAATATGATAAGTTAGAACAAATGTATGTAAAAAAAGGGGGGTGATAAAGGGGCAAGTATTGTTGAAAGTAGCAGAAGACAGGAGGAGGTGGAGAGCCATGATCACTAACACCTTAAAGAGATCATTCTTACAAAATTCAAATGTAGAAAAGAATTCTGCAAACTATTTCTTTCTCTCTTCCAATGCTTTTCACTCAGTAAGAGACAATGCAAGAGGAAAACCATGAGATTTTTGTTCTTATGAAGGTGAATAAGCAAACTGAGTCGAAGCAGAAGGTGAACAGATGAAAAAGAGGAGGGAGCTGGAGAGTGGGAGGGGGAAGGGGGTGTTAGCAATGTAGTATCCTTCCCCTACTACACCAATGTGCAGACAAAGAGCAGGTGCGTAAAATGTGCGAATTATGTGTGAAATAGCATCCTGGTCTCTTGACCTCTCTCTCAATTTGCCTCTCTGCAACAGAAGAAATTCAGTAAATAGAAAAGAAAAGTGATAATCCACTTGTGTGCTACAGCAAAAATGACAGCTAATCATTGTTGATTGCAGAAAAAAAAAGAAAAAAAAAAAGAAATTCTCGAGGGTGGATAGCAAATGAAACAAAACAAATGGCAAGCATAACAATAAATTATATAATCTCCTCAGCGATTTGAAATGACAACTCATTTATTGTTAGACATTTTTTGTAGTTAAATTCAAAGTGCAGAGTGAAATAAATCTACAGCCTGAAGCAGTTATCCACTACAAAGATCAAAAAAACAATGTATCTTTCCAATCCTACAAAAATCTTTTCAGTAGATTATGTGTACTATTTTTTCCCTTCTCAAAATTTCTTTTCATTATTCTCTTGTGCAAGTAGAAATCAGCTGTCTTTTAAAAATATCTGGAAATTAAAAAAATATTTAAAGGATTTTGTATTTTTTAATTACTTATCAATGTGACTAATATGTAAATTATAGTAGAACAAATAGTTTTAAGGATTTCGACTTATTTATTTTATAAATATGAAAGCAAATGAGTTTTTCTGTATATTTGATTAAATGATCTTACCGTTTCATTTTAAAAAATAGTTTGGACAATAAGTATTGTATAATGATATTATAAATATATTAAATTAAAATAATACTACTCTTTTAATTGTTAGACATGGAAAAATATTTAAATACATAAATGACAAAAGAAACTCAAGAATAAAAATAAAAATTTACTTGTTGATAATAAAGAAAATATATTGAATTTGCTTGTGATTAATAAAGTAATATATTGAATTTGTTAATATTTTCATGTTCATTAGCATGTTTCTCAGAGTCACTTTCAGGTTCAAAAGTTATCATATAACTAAGCAGACATGAAAGAAGACTATTGAGTGGGGGGGGGAGAATAAGAAAAAAAAAAAGATTGATTAAAACTGTTAAGAATATATATCAGGTATGTGCAAAAATTCCCAGTGCTCTTATTTGAAAACTAGAAATTGAATACACATTTAACTGTTTGTTTCTTATGGAAATCTTTGCCAACATCTAACAGTAATAATAATACTAAGGAGTGTTACTCTTGGCAGGTTACATAATGAATAAGTGAACAGATAAATGATTTATGCAATGATTTGTGGGGCACCTTGACATGGTGTGATGGTTGTATTGCTAGAAAAGTTACAAATGAATAGTGAATTTGATCCTTAATTGATGCCCCATACAGCCATTTTATTATCGATATATAATGGTTATCAAGCTTGTCTTGCTAGAACAGTTACAAATGAATAGCGAGTTTGATCCTCACTGGGAGCCCTATACTTTTGGCCTTGTGCCACATCTAAACTACACTTAGAAAATCATCATGCAATGATTTGTGTAACATAGCCTCGAAAAATCAGTAAGATATTGGCCGATTCAAACCACTCCCCTTGACACATAACTAAATAGAACTACATCAAAATAACCTACGTTATGCTTATTTACATGATAAGTGGTTTTAACATCTGAGAAACATGTTTTTTTCGAAGGTAGGTAATCAAAGCAAAATTTCGTAATCTCATACATTTAACTATGTTTTGTTACTGAAAAAAATAAAATTCTATAAGAATAATGGAAATTCTACAAGATTTCACGATGGTAGCTGCTGCTTCTTCAGTCTTAGTCAATTATGAGAATTTCTTTTCTTTTAATGAATAACATGGTATTCTTCTTCAGCAAATGGGCAATCACCACTCTCCACAACTTCCTATCCTTTGTAGCTCTAAGCAATGTTTATCTCCTTAATACTATTTCCTGTTATGTCATTGACACAAACTTGTCAGGGAGATTCCTCACTGATTCCCTCTTCTTCTCTTGCTTTCAATAAGTCCTATGAGTATTAAATTCTCCAAGCCTTCTTTTCTCATTATGAGTCCCAATAATTTCAACTTTCTCTTTGATTTTAAGCACAAGTGTCTTTTTTGTTCCCATTGTCCTTAAAACTTCCTATTTGCTTATATGATTTGTCCTTGGTATTGTTAGCATCCTTCTGACAAACCACATCTTTGTTGCTTCAAGTCTCTGTGAGGAAATTGTCCAGCATTCACTGCCATATAGGAAATTGATAATACATAGTAGTTCAGCAATTGTTTCTTTGTTTTTAATATTTTGTCTTTCTTAATCCTTAGTGTTTAGCTTTTGAAAGGCAGCTTTCATTATTCCAATGTGGCTTCAGACTCAAATTGACAAGAACAGATCAGAGTAGATGTTAAGCTTAATTATAGTATTTAAATTCTCAAATACAAATTTTGTACTAACAAGACACTGATAAATTGGATGACATTCTACTTAAATCATAATTATAAATAAAGATAAATCTCCTAAGAAATCAACATATTGTATTATTAACATTCTCAATAATGATAGATATGACAATATAAACACACACAAGTACCAAAAGATTAAAAGACAGCAGTACACAGGGTTCATTCAACTTATCCCACTTGTAAAAATCAACTCAATCTGATTATAGATTATACATATTATGTAATAGGTAAAAAGAAGTAGCACAGCTGTGGCAGCCATGGGTGTAGATAGGACTAAATGCTATTTTGAAGTGGAAATTACTTAAAGTTTTTAAATTCCAAGTACAGCCTTCCTTTTAGCAAGTGTAAACTAGGAATATATGGATTCTAGACAGACATCAGCAGCACAAGAAAATCATGGATTCCCACAGGAAATGAACAGGGATGGTAACTGCCAACAAAGAGGACCATTGCATCAAATTATAATCTAATTCAATGCCGGTGTCTCTCAACACAGTACCCTCCATTCCATGTAGTTTCATAGTCATTGACCATCTAGGGTACCATTATTGACACCATCATATTGGTTATTGAATCTCATATTTGCACCAGAGAACATTGCTGGAAATATGATTTGATTGACCATATGTTATATGGCACCAATCTTTCACAGAACAAATCTGGAAAATGTCTGCATAAGGGTATATCAAAGCACTTCTGCATAGGCATATCTATGCACTTATTTGAATGGCATAAATTCTATGCCATGTCACAGAGCTGTGTTAACTCAAATGAAGGGTGGAGCTACACATTATTAGGTAACTGTAAGCTTTTGGTACTTCAGTTCATCATGCAAACATTGGGAAATGCCAACCCCAAAAATCAATGAAAATAAGATCTTTCAATTTAAAAATATTGTATTCTTTCATTGTGTGCAAAAAACTTCATAGTTAAGAAATATTTAGAAACCTAAGTTGAAAACTAAATATTTTCAAAGGAAGTATCCGTTTTTCATCACTGCCTTGACTTTGAAAGCTATTTTATACAGCAAGGCTTTTGCACTGATTACCATTTGACTTCTTGTATCCCAGATTGTCTTCATTACTTCTTTCAGAGGATGAGATTTGTAGTGGGGACTTATATTTGGTGTATTCTTTCTTAATATTCTACAGATCCTCTATCAGATTGAAATTCAATAAGTTGGGTGGCCATTCTTGAACAAACTTCATACCATGATACTGAAGCCATTTTATTTTACACATGTAGTCATATGGTATAGAGTCCTTGTCCAAATGTATAAAAATGGTGCTGTTTTTTTTATCTACCTGAATGGCAGCAGATGCAACTCCATGACAATCAACTTTCTGAATTCAATGTGCTTTTTGGCAGCAGAAAATACAATCCTTATTAAGTGCCATCAAATGATGCGCCTTCTGATTGTAACATGAGAATAATGTATAATTGTGGTTTTTATGACCCACTGACTGGTTGGGTACAATTTTCATAGCACATGCATAATAGATTGTTTATCAGCCCACATTATCTCATGCTAATCCTTCATTCTGTTACAGAATTTCTTCTCATTCAACAAATGATTTTTCTTATCATCAATCATTTATATAAAGTTCTACAAGCCTTCAGGCTATGATCTTTTTTTCAAAATATGATTCACTTTAACAGATGAAACAGTTGTGTTGATTTGCAGTGAGAAATGAGTTCAGTGATGATTCTCTTTTCATTCACCTTTTGGTGAACACTTTGTTTACTTTTGCAAGTCAATCTGAATACTTCCAGATTGTAAAATTTACTTTAGTTGTATAATCAACTACAGATTTTTGAACAGCAGATGTTCTTATCTTTCATTGATAACATATTTCAGTTTGACTTTTGTCAGCACATTTAAATTCAATAACTGCTTGACCACCAGAGTTGTTTGAAATTTCTCATTCTTGATGTTATATTAATGGAAGTAAGTTCACAAAAATGTAAAATAAACAGATTTATGAACTAATGTGGAACTCTTCAATAAAAAGGATAGAGAAAAAATGAAACTATTATAACTCTTGGTAATTTATAATAAAAATTTGTAATAATACAACATAATTATCTGGGTTTCCAAAATTTTGCAAGATTATATATATATATATATATATATATATATATATATATATATATATATAATTTATACAAATATAAAATTTGTCACTTAACTGATTGATGTTATTTTCAGCATCTCTCCTAGAATTTTGTAGATGGGACCTCCAGCTATCACTCCATCCACTCCTCAGTAGATACCAGCAATTGACTGTTTATTTTCTCATTTTTTTTTGTTACTTTTATATTGAGTTAAAAAATAATTTATACACTTTTCATTGGCGCAAAGTTGATTTTTTTCTTTGTCTTTCATTATGTGTGTGTATGTGTATATATGGTAAACAAATAAACTGTTCACAACTTATTTCCCAATTTTCTTAAATGATATCCACTTGTCAGGGGATTAGATAGTTAAATTGAATTTACTTACAGATATCCTATATATCTTACAGATGTTACATCATTTTTTAAAAGACAGTAATTTATAAAGTCAACCTATTTAAAATCTGTTCTTTTTTTTAAAGATGTAATCTAATTTGAAATTGTTTATGTGCATTCGATAATTTTTATATAATCAAAATATTTCTAAGGATTTTTATTATATTTAAATTATTGTAATATTTAAAATAATAACTGGTCTGATATAAGTACAATTACCATTTATATTATTGGGTAATTTTTTTCCAGGAAAGTAAGTTTGAACATTTTATTTAATATTAATTATCTATTTCTTAATGATGAGCACTTTATTTACAAAAACTGATCACCTTAAAAGCATTATCTTTCAGATCAACTTTTTTTTTTTTTGGTGTGGTAAAACACAATCTTTGTTATATATATATATATATATATATATATAGAGAGAGAGAGAGAGATTGGGTGGACTATGTGGGTGAGAGATCTTGTCTAAAAATATGTAGTACCTTTAAAATATCTGCATAATGCTCTAATTCTCTCCAAGAATTTATTGAAATGTTATAAACAGAATAAAAAAATTTTTACTCACTGTACAATGGCTGCTCGTTCAAAATAATGCACTGCTTTCTCTGGAAATTGTGATTCAATGTAGTAAACCCCGAGCCACTCAATTACAGGAATGTTGGATGGAAAGTAACGATAAGACTGAAGAGAAAAAAGATAGTGAAGCACATAGAGAATTAAGAAGCATTGGAAAAACAGATATGGAGTAGTGAGATCAATCCTAATTAGAATTGTTTTATCATTCAAAACTGTTTAAACATTATAAATGGTAACAATTTTTATTTCCATAACTTATCAGACACTTATGGTCATAGTTTAATGAAGTTAACATAGTCTGCCTTCTAACCTTACCAACTGAACAATGAATTTGATGATTAAAATTAGAGATAAAAGTTTCTTTGTGCTCCATCAAATACAGTAGATTCCATAAAGGAATTTATAATTTTATAATTACTTATTCTTATAACAACTTTGATTCCACCAATTCCTGAATATGAGTTAAGACACAAAAATGAGGAAAGAAGCATTTGGATACCTTACTAAATATTTAATATACTTGCAATGCTTTTAAGTTTACTTTAAATTTACAAGCAATGAATATTGATAAAAAGTTAACAGTTTAAAAAAAAAAGATATGTATTTTCAAACATACAATGTAGAATAAAATATTTATAAACAAAAATAATGATGGAAAACAGTATTCAAACAATATGGATTTTATATTTTTATACTTAGCTGCAAAACTCTGGTTTACTGTTTTTTAACATTTCATAAACCCCTTTCCAATATTTTGTTCTGAAAACTTGGCCCACTCTACTTTGCAAACAAATTTCAAATAATTAATATTCCTGGAGTCTCTCAAATAAATTCATTCTTTCATGCTTTAACATTTTAATTGGATTCAAGTCAGAAAATAGATTTGACCACTGAAACTACATTGTTATGAAGAAACCAATTGTGAGTTAATTGAACTGAACGTTTCAGATTGTTATTATGTTGAAAGATCCAAAAATGTTACAGCAAAGAGAACAAATTAGTTTCCAAAATAATTTATATTGCTCTATACATGACTGCTTCATTGAAATATTCCCCCATACCAATGAAAGGGAAACATCTCCAAATCATGATACTTTTACCTCCATGCTTTACTAAGAGGATGGTGTTTTTAGGTTTCTCTAAATGCTCATGAGTAAACTTTATTCAAGAATCTCAGTTTTGTATTTTTTTTTTCCAACAAATGTGTTTTCCTGTAGAGTAAAAAGGATGTCAAACCATTTCTGTGCAGTTCATTAGAAATAGTTCTTTAAGTAATTAATGTTCCATCTGCTCTTACATCATCTTTTTTACTACCACTGGATTCATTTTGACTTTTTTTCTTCTTAGCATTTTGTGGGCTGGGGCATTCCCATGAAAAGATTTTGTGGAGCACCAACTCAGAAAGGTTTTTGATAATGTCAAATTTCTTTCACTTTCACTTGCATAATCAATATTTACCATCTTGACAATAATCCAGGAGCTCAAATATTCAATATATTTCTTAATGGTGCTATTCTTTTTGAGTGAATGCTCTTTTACTTTAATCATGGCAATCTCATTACAAGAAGATGAAGTAGTGAATGACAATCAAGATGGTATCATGCTCTTGTAAAGTATTGCTAAAAGATTCCAAAACTTTCTAAGCAAAAACATCTACAGCTGCATTCCTTCTTAAATAACATTTTATTAGCACTTGAATACAATTTTCTACCATTACATATTTCTTTTATATTTTATTCTACATTCTCTCTGAAAATATGTATTTGCTTCTTAGTAATTGTCGATCAATTTTCTATCAAAATATATCATCTGTGTAAATTTAAAGTAAATATAAGCATCAGAAATCTATAGAATAAATATTTAGCAAATGCCCAAATACTTCTTTCCCCCTCACTATATGATTACAACTTTTCTGGTTTGGAAATAAGACATTTTAACTTTCATTAAGGCAGGTTACCTCAAATCAAACACCATCTTGATATATGTAAATAACCAAAGGAGCTCCATAGATAAAATCAAGTCATCTTTGACTTGATAGAAGGTAGACAAACTAGGTTATTTGCCAAAACAATCTGGGTGCATTTGTGTTATATAGGAATAAAGTGTCACTGCCAACACTGGAGTTTGAACACAGACAATCCCATTTTGAATAAGTAGATCATGTGATGGTAAAGGAAATGTATATATGGGAATTAGCGTGGGATCTAAGGGATCACTATATGGATTACTATTCAGATTACTATTTAGTGGTTACTTTACAAGTAAGTACTGTCAGTGTGAGTGTTATTCAAAGGCACCCGTATTGTTCAACAACATTACTATAGCTGTATTGGCAAGTCTGTTCTTCAACGAGCATTACAAAAGTGGCAATGAGTTTTCGTTGACATCACAAAAGTGATGACAAGGATTCATTGAACTTACACAAGGATTTGTTCAATTTACAAAAGGAAAAAATTAATCTGCAAAATATTCAGCAGAGTACAACAGAATGGAAGAGTTAAAAGCTATCATGATTCAAATGTTGCAGCAACAAAAACTACAATAAGAAGAACAATTGTAGCAACAAAAACAACAACATGAACAGTAATTGCAACAACAGAAGTTTTTTGAGTTGTTTACCAAAACCATGAAAGGAAAAACTTCAGATTCATTCACTCCAGATGCTGTTGCTAATTCAATCAGCAAATTTGTGTACAATCCAAATGAAGGGATAACTTTTCCAGCTTGTTATAGAAGATATGAAGGGATCTTCAAAAGGGATTGTTTTGCATTGAAATGATGAAAAGAAAGTTTGGTTATTATTAAGGAAATTGTCCTCTGCAGAACATGAAAAATATACAAATTTATATTTTGTCAAAAAAAAACCAGGTGAGATAAATTTTGATGAAACTATTGTAATTCTATCAAAAATTTTTGGTAATAGGAGTTCATTATTTAATACACGATGGCAATGTCTTAGTAAAGTGCAACGATGAAGATTTTGTCACTTATGCAGGAGTCATGAATTGAGAATGTGAGAAGTTCAAGTTTAATGAATTAACTCCTGATTTATTTAAATGCCTGATATTTGTACAGGGTTGAACTTCTAACAAGGATGTGGAGATATGATCCAGGATACTTGCTAAATTAGAAATGGATCCCAAATTAACTCTCCAGAAAATAGTGGAAGAATGTCAACACATTGTGAATTTGAAATTTGATACTGCAAGGATTGAGGAAAAAGACAATTCACAAGTACATAGTGTGCGACCATCTAAGAGAAAAACTACAAATGTTTTTCAACTCCTAACAGAACAGTAAAAAAAAGACTATAAACCCTCTTCAATACCTAATACTTGTCATGGTTGTGGTGGTAAGCATTTTAAAAGTGATTGTTTCTTCAAGAACAAAAAAATGTTACGAACGTGGGAGATTAGGAGACAAAGTGTTGCAGATACAAAAAAAATGAAGTAAAAATAAAACTTATGTGAACATGATAAATACATGGACTAATGATAAGAAGCCTAAAAGGAAAATTAACAAGACATCTCAAAAGAGGAAATTTATTTTTGTGCAAATTAATTAGGTTTGATATCAAAAATAGACTATTCCAAATGGGCATCGGCAACAGTCTAGGTTAAAAAAAAAAATAATAAAATCTGCGTATGTGCTGATTTTTCAATGGGGTTAAATGAAAGTTTAAAACAACATAACTACCTGTTACTAGGTTCCAAGGAAATTTTTGCCAAATTGAATGGAGGTAATTTTTTTCTAAATTGGACCTGTCAGATGCTTATCTACAAGTACTAGTGGACAAAGACTGCTCAAAATTATTAACAATTAAGTCTCATAGAGCGTTATACAAATTCAACTGACTTCCTTTTGGTATAAAGGTAGCACCAAGCATATTCCAACAGATAATGGATATCATGCTTGCCAGTTTGGATTGTGCTCAACCATATTTAGGTGACATACTTATTAAAAGTAAAACCCGAAAGCAACATGTAGAAGATGTAAAGAAAGTATTTGAGAGAATCAAAGAATATGATTTTAAGATTAGTGAAGGAAAATGTGAATTGTTTATATCCAGACATAAATATCTAGGATAAATTATTGATGAAGATGACCAAAACCTTCAAGGGCAAGTGTGATAAAGGACATGTCCACTCCAACAAATTTAACCAAGTCACAAGCATTTTTAGGGTTTACTAAAATACATATTATCTAATATGCATGAATTAAACATACAGAATAAGAACAAATATTTCCTAATATTTATCTTTATTTTATAATAAAGACTTTGAATCGTTTCTCACAAGAAATATTTACAATGGTTAAAACTCCGCATTTTTTTAAAAGAACATTAACAAATCAAAATTCATGGCTGGATTTCTGGAATGAGGAGTTTTCATTATTTACATTCAAACTATGTTGTTGATAACACATCATTTTGGTCATTGTACCCTTAGGCCTTCTTGAGCAAGACAAAATATCCCTAGACATTGAGATGGAATGAGAATAATCTACTCTTGTAGATTAAATAAAGGATTCCATTTGAAATTCCCTGAGGATTGCCTGGATCAACAGACACCTGAAGAAGGCTGGAGCACACAACTGCCAAAATGTTGTGATAATAACAACAAAGATGGGGACATTAGTCCAAATGTAAACAATGTTAATAAAAGGAAAATTAAGTAAAACCTACAACTTTACACAAGGGAATGACAAAATACTTGTTTAATCATTTTCTTTCTATTAATGAAATTAGAAGAAGCTATAATTTGAGTGTTTTCACAATCCTAAAATTATAGAATTAATAGACAAAAAACAATGTAATTGAAAATAAAGCTAACCAATAGCTCTCAGCCAGTCTTTTTTATTGTAGATTATTGAAACAATCATGTGTAACATTCATTTTATCTATTTATAAAAATGCTTCATCAAAAAGTTTCATAAGAATGAATATAATTTCACTCTACTTTCAAGTCTGTTGCATTTAAAAATAAAATTCCTTGCTATGTCGGAAACAAATTAAACCAGGAGATGACTTCTACTGGAAAAAAAACACAGCTGATTATTTACTAGGATTCTTCATTTTGAAGATTTGTATAGATGTCCTCTTTACATGGTTACTGATTGTTTCAGGTGATAATGGCCATGCAGATGGACATAGCTGGAATGATTCTAGTCTTCCATTCTTATAATAAGGCTCCAATTCTATACCAATATTTAAAATCTGGATGGAAGCCAACAAAGAAGGTGTCACTTATAGACAAATGAAAATTAGAACCTAGACAACATTTGGCTTGCTGCAACAAAGTTTACTGTTGTCTCAAGTGTTATTACTATTTCAAGTGGCGAGAATCACAGAAACATCAAGAAAAATTCCTCTGAGACAGAGAAAGAGATAAAAGATAATAAATTGCAAAAGTCAGACAAAATAGACAGACTACTTGATTTCAGTGTCAGATGGAAGCACTTTTAGAATTTTCAACATTCTATTCCTATTTATTTAGCTCCAATTATTTGCAATGAACAAATGGTCCTGAGACATGGCAATTCTAGACTAAATATTACCAAAATTACAAACATTATTAGTCTTTATTATATACTGTAGGTCTGTTTAAAGAAACAGAACAGAGGAATAACATTCTTCACCTCCAAACTGATTACATCAGTTTATGGTTGCACTATTATATAATAGTAATGTTTACATCTTCTTTAACTCTACTTTTATTGAATAACATACTGACAGGGCTTGTGCTAGGGTTTTGGCCCCCATCCAATCTATGATACCCACTGACTCTATGATACACCCCACCACTACATCTCAATTTTCTTGATTCATATAAAATACAAATTTTATTGTAACCTAATTATGTACAATAATTGAACATATGCAATATAGGTAAACAATTCAACTAGAAAATTGGAAATAAATACAATGCATCTAAATACAAATTAGAGACATGTCATAATAGATCATTCCATCAACAGTGTTTTGTGGAAATTTTTAAAATCAACTTTAGATTTTTCTTGTTAAAAACTTGAATAATTTAACACATTAAACATTATGGATAAAAAATAATGAATTTTATATAATTTTTTTACAGGACTTAGCATGAGCAAAACAAATTTATGGATTTGGACAAAAAAAAAAAAAAAAAACAAACAAAAAAAACAAAATGGCATCCAAATCCACAAAGATTTTTCATCCTTTAGTTACTAATAATCAGTTGAGTTTAGTTTAATTTGTAACATATATAAATGTAGGTAGAAAAAAGTAAATGTTGATAAGATAGTGAGGGTTATAAAGCACTGCTTGGGGCCCCCAATCAGGCTCCTCTTCAGTTGGGGATGTACATGCCGGCCCTGCATACAGAGATACAACTAAATAAATGAAACTACCTCAATTTACAATTGATTAACTATTTAAGTTCTTTATAACATGTCCAGGTTTAATTTCATGTATTGATAGTTTTCCTTTGTTTATTAAAAGAATTTTCAATTAAGTCTAATACTCATAATCTGGTAAAAGTCTTTTATAATTTACAGAATTTGGATTTAGTGTCGAGTCACATGACTGTCAAATATGTCTCTGATCATTAGGAATTAATCTTAGAATATCCAATTGACAAGATCAATGTAGAATTTTAATGATTTTATGGCAACATACGAGGAAGTAATTAAGGATTAATCACATGGATATATTTGAGAGGGAAAGATTTAAAATTTAGAATTAGATTTAAGCGCAAGGTAATTTTGAAAATTACTGATATTGAAAAATTAACAAATTCAAGCACCATGACTGCAAAGTTTAAATAACTCATGCTGACAATTGTAATATAGACAAAGATTGAAATCTTCTCTGTTAATTTTTTATGGTTTCTATTATAAATATTTTAGGTAAATCTTGAGATTAAGGTGGTAAAAATCAAGTGACCACTGAATAGCATAATGCTCCATTAATAACAAAACAAAAATCTATTAAAGGAATAAGTTTAAGAAGAAGAAAACATTGAAGCCAGTTTTATTCAGTCTAAATATGATATGTAGATGAAAATAGCTGCTCAAGAGAGAAACAACAGTTCATATTTTTGTCTTAAAACCTCTATACATTTCCCAGAGATCAATATTGAAAGAATTGAGTTGGGGTTTCAAGAAAAGATAAGAGGTTGGGTTAACAGAATTCTAAGTGAAAACAACCAAAAGTAAAGAGACATCACATCTATTGGAAGGTGCAACCATTATCATACCAAGAGCATGAAAATAGAATTATTTTACTACAACTTCTTTTAATGAAGTTTCATAGAATCTATCAATATAAAATAATAGTCAGAATTACATATATAACCAGTCATTGTAGAACTCTCTCTCTTTCTCTAATTATAGAATATGATCTTTTAGCCATGTTGATGGCAGGTTCACAATAATAATCTTGAAATACCTACATGATGTATAACCAAAATTTTAAACAATAATAATGATTCATTTTTTTATATCTGCTTCTATACATAGATTACACTTGATTAGGATTAGTATTTAGATATTCTGAGATTATTCAATACTCAAAATAACAAACACACATTAAATTTGATATTCATCAATTCATTTAAATTCAGCATAAAATAAGATAAAAGTAGAGCATATTTATTTTTAAAAATAACTAACTTTCTCAAAAGTACAATATAAAAATTGATAAAAGAAAATTTAGACTCAGATATGAATGTGTCCCACACACATACACAGAAAAGAAAGAGAGACAGAACCCAATTATATCAAATAGCAAAACAGAGATGTAAAGGTAATCTTCTCAATATTCTGCTTAAAATATATGTTGAATTTTCTAATTGTATCAATATTTAAATCAATTCAAAATAGCATTTGATTTCATATAATTAACATATTAAAATATTACTTAATATTTGAATTATTTTCATTAAAAAAATGAAAACACATTGAAATTAAGATTACACAAAGTGATACAATATATCTTGAATTTCAATTTTAGAAAAATGTAATCGGTGGGGGGGGATTTTTTATCAGAAATATTAAAGGAATTCAAAAGATTGAGATTATTCTAGTGCAATCAGAAACAGACAAGAGACTAAATAAAAACAGTAGAACATACCGTAGTCAGGAAAATAATAATAATAGTAGTAGTTCTGTATTAGTGATAATCATTCTAGTACACTATTCTATAATATTCAAGCTCTAAGTAAACATACAAAGTTGACAATTTGTGAAACACTATCAAAAAAAAAAAAAAATAAATAAATAAAAAAAAAATGGTTATTTTGAACTATTTTATGTGACAACTGAACTAAAGTCAATTCTTTTTTTTTAGCTTTGGACAAAATTTATTAGGAAAATTTCAATTTTTACTGTAAAGAGTCTAACTAGACATTTCCTCCCATGAATTTTAGCATCAAAAAATCATATGGAAAATTATTAAAATACACTTACATCATAATAGTATTGAAAAGCTAATGTCTTGTCACCATCATTGTCATAGAATTGCCCAAGTCGGCTTAAGATATCAGGATCTGTGGCCACAACACCAATTAACTGCATGAACCTGGAAATGACAAAGATAATAAACTGATAAAAAAATGCATCATTGCATAATAAGAATTGTTATTAAAGTCAGAAGAATAATCATTGTTTTGCAATGAGTAATTTGACATTTTGTAAGATTATTATGTGGACATATAACAGTAATAAAAGTTTTCCTCTTACTGAGATCTGCACATGTCAAACAAGGCTGTAGAAAATTTTAACTGTATGAGAATGCATTAAAAAAATTCCTCTTATGAAATGTTCGAAGATTGGCAAATGAATTTCCTCTATGTTTATTTCTCATCCAGTTGATAAAGGACACAGGCATGTCCAAAAATTCTGTCTTTAAAACCTTTCTCTTTGTGCATTAGTTTAGTCTTAAGGCCTACTAATATAAAATAAATATAATCAGTCTTATTAACAATATTTTTATCATTTTGCCTTTTTATTTCTCAAATTTCATCAACCAGCCTATTAAACCTCTCTCTCTCTTACATATATATATATATATATATATATATATATATATATATATATATATATCTATGCATGCTATTTTAATTTAATTTGTTTAAATGTTATTTTTGATAGATACTCATATTTGAGTAGAAGCTCTGTTTTTTAATTAAACAGTATTTTTTATTCAACTACATCTACTGGCCTGAATATTCGAGAAATCTTGTCAGAAAAATATGCATGCTCCAGCAGGATTTGAACCTGCATCCCCTATGGGAAACCATCATTGGATCTGTCATGCCTGACTGCTCAGCCACATAAGACTTTCAGTCAAACAAAGCCCAAATAATTTTAATTAAAAAAAAACAGAGCTTCTACTCATATATAAGTATCCATCAAAAATAACGTTTAAACAAAATAAATTACAAATAACATGTCAGATTTAATCCATTTCCTATATATATATATATATATATATATATATATATATATATAAAATGAAATGGGTTAAGTCCAACAACTATTTAATATATTTTCTATTTATACATGAATTTTTATAGATACATTTTATTTACGTAAATGTTCTGTTTTTTATTTAAACAATATTAATGTTAGAAAAAAACTGTCAAAGATTGTGTGTTTAAAAACAGTAATTTGAACTTTGCTCACCAGATGCTTCTCTGTAGCTAAATGATATAGCACGTCAGATAAAATGAAAGTTTCCATATAGGAATACAGGTTTGATTCCTATCAGAGAACACATATTTTCTACAAAATTTCTCCAACATTCAAGCCGGTAAATGTATTTAATACTGTTTAATTAAAACAACAGAGCATTTACTTAAATAAATTTTATCTATAAAAATAACAGAATATATATATATATATATATATATATATATATATATATATATATATATTTATTGTATGTCTGTAATGCTTCTAAATCACAAATTCTTATTTTTATGGTGACACTGAAATTGAATATTATTTGTTTTAGTTTAATATTCATGATGAATCAAACATAAGAAAATGAAAGAAAAATTCCTGATATTTTATAAGCACAATAAAACATCAAAATTAATATTGCTATCATTTTTTGACAAAATGAATAAACTAGTATTTTACATTACAACAGTTTAATTTCAGATAGATTCTTGTTTTGGTTGTTATAAGTATGACTTTCAAAATCCATGAATTTTAAAAAAGAAATTGTTAACTTTATCACTTACTAAACAAAAATTTTATCATATAAATCTCAGAGACAAAGTTATCAAAGTTCTTTGCCAAATGTCAATCTCTGGAGCTAAATTTTATTTTGCCATTACTAAGTTTTTTTTTACTCTACATTCTTTCTAAAAGACAAAGTGGAGGTGAGCCAAAATAAAAAAATAAAAAAAATATAGTTATCTTATCGTTGATTTAATATCATCTACTACTTTATAACATTATTTCTTCATATAAATGATGTTATAAAATTAGAAAAAAGCAATCAAGATTTACAAAAGTAAGTGAAGTTGTGAATTTATATATATATATATATATATATATATATATATATATATATATAATACAGATTATCCTACTTTGTCATTTGAAATCTGTTAACAAAGAAACAATGAATAAAAGAGGAATATTTCTTAATTAGTTAATGAATAAGGAAATGCAAATGACATTTTAAGTCAGAATAATGTAACAGCGGATTTAACTAAATCATACTTTTTGTTCAAATGCAGGTGTGTAAGATTAGTTGAAATGTAAAAATTAGTACAGTTCTATTTGCAAAGGAAAGAAATCAGCTTTAATTAAAAAAAAAAATGTCTTTTTAATTTAATAAGACATAAAAGCAATCTTCAGGAAATTTCTAACATCACAATATTTTATTTCATAATTCAATAATTCATAATAATGATTTATCAAGTGCAAATAATGTAAGAATTATTTACCATTCTTTGGCTTGTGCTTTTTCTTCCAGTAGATCATAGCTGTGAAGAATGAAAATCAAGGAACAAAATCTTGCCAGTTTAATTAGAAGTGGTGCCTTATTTCTCCAAATGTTGGCAAGATTCAAAATGGACTTTACTTTAAAAACTTTAAATAAATTCTGACATTATAATTTGATGTTAGACAGAGAAATTAACATTAAAAAGTAGAAATATTTTTTTAGGATCATTATAACAGAAAACAAAAACAATGTATTCAATTAAATTTTTTTTAAATATGAAAAATAAAATTAAAATTTTTTTTTTCTCATTTCAGTTATAAAAGAAAAATTTACATTGTTCTATTGTTTTTAAGAAGTGATTACTTAGAACATTAACTTTCCATTATATATATATATATATATATATATATATATATATATATATATATATATATTTCACCCCAAGCAAGATAGTAAAGCAACTAAGATACAAGAAGTTACTGGGTGTGGATGAATTACAAATGGAAACATTACTAATGAATGGGAAGAGAAAAGAGTAATCAGGAGGACAGTAGATAGTGATTGACACTGCATTAAAAGTTTTTGAGATTAAAGTTGGCCAGAAAGCATAGAGCCGGAAGGGAGTTCCACAAGTGAGAAGTGCAAGAAAAGAAACTGTTAGCATAGAATTTATATATATATATATATATATATATTAAGGCATTAAAAACAAGAAATTTTATATTGTAGGCCATGATAGATTTAAAACAAAACACACACCAGTCGATTGGTTTCGTACCCTCTCATCAGAACTGTTAATGGGGAACTAAAATTATGAGGAAAAGAAAAAGAAAAAGTCTGTCATGGATGACATGAATGAGTGGACAGGGAGAAAAAAAAATATTATAAAAATTATACACAACACTGCAAACCTGTTGCTACTATCACTATTTTCTTGGCAAATGTTCAGATGGGCTCCATTCTCTAGTTCCACCAGTTCAGACCTTCACTGCTAAAATATGTCATGCTGCTACCACAGAGTCAAATCACCATCATTTCCTCCCTGTTCCAAAGGTTATATTCTTCTTAAAACCAGATCTTCTTCTAATTCATGCTACACTAATTACCACCACTGGCCAGATGAGAACACTCTGAAACCCAAGACCGAACTAAAAATTCCATCAACTGCACACAGGCTCCACACATAGCTTCCGTTTTTACTTACTCAAAAAAAAAAAAAACAACAAAAAAAAACAATCCAGAATTTCCACCCAATAGCACTAACTTCTGCTTAAAGAAACAAAATAAAAATTGGAGCCAATCTGAGCCTAAGAAAAAGGCATGAAAGACATCAAAGGAACATCTTCAGCAGTCGGATGGCACAACAGCCTAAATTCACAACGTGACCTCAGTAAATCACAACTCACCCTCTCTCTCTCTCTTTCTCCTACTGTATGCTGCTGTGGATGACTTTTACAATTTTACTTATCTCTTTCTTTCAACAAGAGACATTTACCGATATACCATATGTTGTATTTTTACAATAATACAGTTGTTTATTTCTTAAACTGCCATTGTTTCTTCTTTGATCTTCCATATTCTTAATATAATACAAATATGCTGGATTTTAGAGTGGATACATGGAATAGAATATATGTTTTATGATCCTAGGTCATTCATTTTGGTCAGGCATCCTCCCCACTACCATATGTTACCAGAGAAAAGAAATATCAACAAGTAATAGCAAAAATGGGATATGAGAAAGTGAAAACTATAGTGTTTAGTACATTGCTTTACAATTGGTAGAATATCACAAGTTACTCAAAAAGTCAATTTTTTTTAAACAAACTTGATCTAATTTATCTTGTCTTTATACTGATATTATGTCTCCATTTTGTTTAAAATTATAGATATATTAAGAAAAACAAAATACTGCAGAAGACTTTCTAACAAAGAAATATTATTGACAATCTGACTGATATAATCATATTAAGTGTGTGCATGTGAGAATGAAAGAATTTTATTCCTTAGCTTTGAAATGAATGAAACATTTTTTTTTTAATTTAATGGCTCCCTGAAATATCAGTTGAATTATATTATTTATACTAATGAAAGTAGCAATCAAAAAATAAATATTTTGAGTGAAAGATAATTACTAATTAAATTTAATTTAAATAAATAAGTTATGAGATTGATTAAAAAAAAAAAACCTGTAATATTTGAGGTCAGGTGATAATCTTTACTAAAATTGCTTAAGGCTAAATTTTATCTGTATCCCCCACCTTGTAGAACAAAACAGACTGCATTAACAAGTAATGCATGTTTACCAGCATTTTATAATACTAACAAATAGCATCTATATTTGCATAAAATTTTTTAAAAAAGCATATTTTAATAAATATTTATTCTGTGATATTTATTTTTAATTCAAATTTTTAAAATTGCCATGAATAAGCAAGGTTTCTGATGATAAAGTTTTTTTTAAATTCAACATGTTTGTCATAGAAAGAATTTATATCTGCCTTATGAAAATTCAGTCCTAAAGAACATACACACATATATTTGCATTTTTTTTTGTGTAACAATTGAGAAGTGTGCAAAATAATGATGACCCACCCACCCAAATTGAAAAAGAATTTTAGTTAAATAAAAATTGAGAGACACATCATGACTTACAGGCAACATTAGTCATGTTGAATATTTGTTTTACAAATTCAACTGCATTTTATTTAAATTAATTTGTCATGTCCACTAAAATATTTAATAAAATATTTCATCAAAATATTGTGCAGACATAATAGAAGACATACCACATGGCTTTTTAGGGTCAATTAGGAATAAATAAATATATTTCTGAAGCTGATGTTCTTATAAAAAAGTGTATTAAAATCATGAAATCCAAAAATTAATCCATCTTCAAATACTTTAAGATATGGATAACTTTCCTGAGGTGTATATAAATTGTACACTGTTCAATTATTAACATTAACAACTATCTTAAATTACAAAATTTTACTTGGATTAAATGAAAATTACTCACAATATAATAAATATATACATTCCTTCTTGCTGCCAAGTTTGACGGCACAGGTACACTAGTTCATAATAAGCATTGTTATCATCTGCTATTTCACATTACTATAAATTAGTTGAATGAAGTTGAAAAATATTTAATGGAGTTATCTTAATAACACTTTTCCCACAGACACAATACTACAAGTCAAAATAATCTGTTAGATTTTATTAAAATTGTACCAAATATTATTAAACAAGTAAAAATTTATAAATTTGCTAAATTCATTTTTATAAACATTAGGAAATTATTCAAGTGTTTCTCTCATTTCTAATTGTATGTAGCTATGTCCAAAGTAAGAAATTCAAGTGGACTTAGCATAATGATAAAAAGAACTTTAAAAAATAAATTGTCTTGCAGAAAATGTTGTTCTTACAGAAAATTTAGAGAAGTAAGAGAACTTCTATTAGAACTTAATTTTTCTCTGTTCATAAATATATACAATCTGGTTTGATTTTAACAATTGCTTCATGGAAATGTTTCCATAGTTGAGAAAGACCAATGTGTGTGTGTGAAGCATAATGAGAGAAGAAGAGATTGAAAAGTAATGCAACTAAACACATGCATGTTGCATATGAGCAGCTCATTGCAAGTCTTTCAAGAGGATACAGGTCAGCAATTTGGTACATCACTTGTGGGCTGCTACGAAGAATAGCGTGCAGTTTGTAATAGCAATCTAAGGATTCCTCAAACCGGCCAATCATCTTGTTACTCAAACCTAAAAGAAAAGAAAGAATATCAAGAATCTAATTCTCTGAATGCATTGCATCAAGAAGAAAAGATCAAATTACAAGTGTTAAGAATTTGTATGTGTAAACCAACCTGAATAAGAACTTGGGATTGAAGAGATATTTGCTATAAATGGATTTGGAAAATCCTCAGAAAACAAACTTTTGCATGGCTATTTGTTTATTGTTACTTAGAATAAAAGTAGCCAAAAACAAAAGTAAAAAAAAATAGCAAACAGGTTTTGCAAGTTGAAAGATTACAAATGATAACAACAAGGATATTTTTTAATTTGGAATTACAGAGTATAATAAATACATTGCAGTCTCATTCATATTAAGAAAAATTATTTGCAATTTAATTGTTGATTTTATATAATGTGCGCCAAGTAATTGATAGCAAATTATAAGATAAACAAAAATAAATCATAATGTAAATGGAAATAAATTATAAACAAAAGCAAATTATGACATAACTAGCTTAAAAGCCACCCTATCAGCTGGTATTTAAGCTAGCTCCTGCGGAGGGCTCTTGACTGGGCCTTCAATCACAATAGGTAAGGAGGAGTAGATGTGATAGGCAACAATAAACTACAGAACTCAAAATTGATTGCTGCATTTAAGTATTGCATTAATATTTAAGCTTACATTTTAAAAGTTCAACAATAATCACCAAAAACAATCAAAGTAATGAAAACTTGGGAATCTAAAATTTCAGGATTGTGGGTTTGGATCTCGACTGGAATGTATTTAACTTGCTCATGAAGTTGGCCTGATTCCAAAATGGTTGGACTATGTCCTCTAGGAGTAAAGTCGAAAACATGTGACACAGTGACACACTGACATTCACATTTATTATATAGAAGGAAAACAAATATATTGAATAGAAATTTCTTTCTCAATGATGGCCAAAAAGTCATAATAGTCCAGGCAATTCAAACCATACACTGCAGGTGACCTGATCATGAAAATTCTCAGTCAGTCACTTCTAGGCCATGTGGATGATAGCAGATTTCTAATGGAAGATGTTTGTCACCCATTTCAATCCAGGGTTTGACCAATGTGTCTAACATCTAGCTGTATGGATGGAGGGGGGGGCAACAAACCTAAGGCCTGGATGGAAGAAGTGGTGCAGCATGACAGTTCTCACTGTTCACAACCCCCAGGGTCATCTCAGATGAAATGAACCTGGTGTGTGTATCATTGTGGGTAACACCAAGTGGTGTGTACAGTTAACTATCATTGCTTCTGTTTGGAGAAGAGTGAGGGTGCTTGAGGTTGTTCAGCAAGTATTTTTGATATGTATCACACAGTTCTTTAGGATCATATTAAGACCCGTTTTACAAACTCAACCATCAATCATGATATCTGACCATGTAGAATGTTTTTTCATTTTCTTATCCACCAGAGACTTCTATCTCAGTCCAAACCTTGAATACAAAGTACCTGGCATGATCACTTTCAAAAAGCTGCCTATCTCTGAGCCACTGTGTGTTTTGAATTTCCTCTGTCAGATTGAAAGCTGCTATGTTAATGCTCTTGATACATCCAAAAGAGAAATGAGAATGTTAAAATTTAGTGTGTGCTATGGAACATTAGTCAGTTAAAAGTGCCTTCTCAAATATCTGGCACAATCTGTAGAACCAAAATTAGCAGATAACAACAATTAATAAATTTTAACATTTTGTCTGCACAAGTGAAATTTTTGTTTTAGCAATCTCTGTATAACCTAAATTGAATTTAAAGACAAAAAATATGCATGAATTCAATCTTAATAAAAATGATTTTAAAGTGATTTCACTTCATTTAGTGTTTTGGTATATTCTTAATGTTTGAAATAAAGTTGAAGAAAGAAAATTTCCCATTTTATTAAACTATAAAACATTGTTAGTGTTATTACATTTACTAAATAATATATGTTTCTTTCTTCAGAAATCTATTGAAATCCTGAATTCCATTGAAACATGGAAGGATTTTGAAATTTCAGTTAAACAAGCTATCAACAAATGTTTTAAAAGCTTTAATTTCAGTCAAAACTGAACTGACATTGTATACTTTCTGTACATGTTTTTAATCATTTTACTTCAAGCATAAAGCCACTAAGACAAGGGGTTACTGAGTATGAAAGCATATCAGAAAAAATATTAATAAGAATAGGAATTAAGGTGATAGTTGGCACTGCATTTAAGTTTTTGAAGATCAAATTTGACTGTAAAGAGTACCATAAGCAAAAAGTGTGAGAGAAGAAACTGTTAGCATAAATCGTATGGTCACGTGTAGTCATTTTAACTGTAAAATGAGGAGACCTAGCTCTCGATCTATTATTGCACTTAAATTTGTAAAAAGGAAAGCTCATCAGAACAATTAGCATGAAACTATAGAAAAAGAACAGGGAAGCTACATTACAGTGGTGGGAAAGTGACTGAAGCCGAGATGCCAGGTCTGGATTGATAACATTGTAGAAGCACCAGACCAGATGTAGTATCAATATTCAATGCATGAACATCTGGTAGACTTATAAGGGCATAATTTCTGGCAAGAAAAATTGTCTAGCACAAAACAGAGAACCAACTTTTCTAGCAGCAGATCTAGCAATTGATTCAATATAATTGTTCCACTTTATATCAGTAGAAAACATCAGCCTAAGAAGGCAAAATGAGTCACTCACCCAGAGTTTAGCATCAGCCATGTTGATGGAAGGCAAATTAAGTTCTATAAGATGATTAAAAATGAGTAGTTTTCTTTTGGAGGTATTAAAACATTGATAACATTGAGAAGGTCATTGATGAAAATTAGGAATAAAGTAAGTCCAAGGATATAACTCTGGTGGGCATCCGCATTAATATAAAAAGATCTAGACGAGTGGCCATTCAAGACAACTTTCATTTTGTGATTGGGTAAGAAAGACTGAATCAAATCAATAATTTTTTCACAAATATCATAATCTTTTTTTGAAGAGACATTTACAATTATTACAAGCAGACACAAAGAGGTTTCTGTTGTGACCAAAACTATCATGTTGCTACAGCTAGAAAAGAATAATTTCTGTGGGTTATAACAGTTGAACAGGCAGGTGTGAGTCAAAGAGAAAACAGTGGTTTCACCTGGTGTTTCCAAGATGGCACAAAAGCATTGATACCAGTTTTTACTAAGAAGAAACATCAGTAGTACTATTCTCAATAAGAAGGTTAAAAATTTAATTCCAAGGGGTATCACAAAGAAAATTACAAAATGAATTCCAATCAACATGCTGGTAAGTCTGGTGAATAGGGGGTTTATGACAAGTAAAAAGAAATATCAACAGATACTGCTGTGTGATCTATATTACCAAAATGACAGAATTGTAATGCTTGACAAAAGACTGGAGAGGAGGTAAGGAACAAATCAAGTAAAGGAGCATATTGATCAGAATTATTAGGGAACAAATAGAGAAACATAATATTTGACTGAGAGAGGAAGCAACAGAAAAATTGAAAGTTTGAATACAACATCAGTAATATTAGAATGCTTAAGTGAATTGATGCTGTGAACATAAAAATCACCAAATGTCTGCAGATGAAAAAGTAAAGAGAGAACCATTTCTATACTGTCAGATATTTTGTCTAATATGTTACAGTCCTGAGAAGAAAGAGAATGATAAAGGAAAAAGAGAGAGAGCTAACAGAGTGCAATAAAAAAATTCAAAAGCACATGAAAGAATCATTCAAGAACTTCAGAAACGATTCATTTTCTCTGAATACAAAGGCTACACATATGTATCCTAGAATCTTTTTAGACATGATTCATATAAGTAACTTGCCTAATTTGGTAAAAGTGAAACTCTCAAGATAAACGGTTTCACAAAGATTTATTTCTTTACATTTGCGAATAACTTAAAATTTATTATCACTTTAAATGGCAAGGAAAAAGTAAAATATCAGTAATTAAATATTCTTGATTATCATACAATTAATTTGATACCAGAAGTTCTACACTTTGTTGTAAAATTTTCATACAAAGTGAGAATCATGTTAATTTTATATTGTCTTATAAATTTTGATCAGTGTCAATATCAAAATTGTAGTTACATAAGTGCTCAATCTATTTGATAGTTATTGAAATAAAAGAAATTATTCATCATCAAAAATGGCTTTAAAAACATAATACGAAATAAATTTTTCCGTGTAAATGGCTGAATTAAAAAAAATTCTAAAATAATTTAAAGAAAAGGAACGTTCACTTAGTCATTGTATTCATTTGTAAAACTTTTCATTTTTTGCAAAATCTGATCTATGGGAGATAACTCCGATAAAAAGGAATACAGACTATTGTTGATGTAATTTCAAGAGTTCTCTTCCCCTAAGAAACGAACTTGTAAGTAAAGAGAACTTGAATTCAAGAGATACAAGAAATTTTAAATCAGTTTACATTTAATTTAAACTTCTTTTTCTATGCAGTGTGTACATTCAAGATCATAGCTTTCCACAATTTCCTGTCCTTTGTAGCACTTAATAAATTTTGTCTTTTTATTAGCTCGCCTAAACCTTGCTTCATCATCTATTTATTCAAGTCGCATTGTTTGCCTGTCTCTTTTGCCTTCAATATGCTATGTAAGTATCAAATTTTCCAAGCTCTCTTTCCTCATTAGGTGCCACTAGAAATTTCAAATGTCTCTTCCTGATGTTAGACATAAGTGTTCTTCTTGTTTCTATTTTCTTTAAAACTTGTTCCTGCTCATATGTTTAGTCCATGGTATTCTCAGCATCATTCTGTAGAACCACATTTCTGTTGCTTCAAGTCTCTTCATCTTTAATGAAATTGCTATATAAGAGAACTGGTGTTACATAACAGTTCATTACTCTTTTCTTTGTTTCTAACAAAATTTTTCTTTTTCTTAATACTTAGTTTTGGAAAGTATCTTTCACTATCCCAATACACCTTTGGATTTCAGTTTTGCACTTTCTGTCCTCTATTAAAACACTTCCCAGATATTTAAATTGTTGTACTTGTTTGA